AGGGTTTGTTCAGGGTTTAGGGTCTAGGGTCTAGGGTTTAGGGTTTAGGGTTTAGGGTTTAGGGTTTAGGGTTTAGGGTTTAGGGTTTAGGGTTTAGGGGGTGTGGGGCCGCAGCGCTTCTGCGGTGATGCCTGGAGCCCTGACAGTCAGAAAGGGCTCCGTTGGCCCAAGTCACGTGAAAAGGGCAATGAAAAGGGTTCAGCTTCTAAAGCCGAAGTGGTAGGTGTTGTGTCGGCTTGTTTGGCAGGATGTTTGCTTCAGGTAGCAGAGCCTTCGTTGTGAAAGACATGGGAAGAGACAGGGTGTAGGCTAGGTTTTAGGGACTGTGCAACAAGGGAGGCTGAAACCCTGCCCTTGGAACTCTTTAAGTCCTTGAGCCCCATCTTCGGGTACCCATAGAGTTACGTGGGCGGCCAACCCTTAATTCTAAACCCTAAACCCTTCTCTGCAGCAGGCTTCACGCGAAACCCTAAACCACAACCCCTCCCCCAGCAGCAAAAACAGCAAATAAATAAATATAAATAAATAAATATAAATATATATATATAATATTGAAAAAACAAACAATAAATAAATAAATCTAAATAAATAAATAAATATATATATATATACATAATAGTAATACTAATAATAATAACAATAATTGTAATAATCATGATAATAATAATATCAATAAGAAGAAGCCTAATAATTATAATATAAATATATAATAGTATTAATGTGAATAATAATGGTAACCATGATGATAGTAGCAATAATGGTTACATTAGTAACTGTAGCAATAAGAATAGTAACAATAATAACAATAAGCATAATAATACAAATAAACGATAGTATCAATAATGAAAAACATTCAAAAAAGCAGAAAAAGAAGCAACATGCGCAATTCATACTAAGACACATAAGAAAACAAAGCCTCCCAATCGCCTCCCAGGACTTGCCTGATCTTCTTCGCATGTAGGGATTCTTTAACGTTTAAGAGAAAACCCTCAATGGGGTGTTTTTTTTACGCAAAAAAGCCTTCCAAGCACCTCAAAATACACAATAAATACGCAACACATACTCATATACAAGAAAATAAAAGCGCCTCAAAGGACTTGCCTGATCTTCTTCGAGGCTGAGATCCTGGAGTCCAGTGCCACCTACGGGCTCCTCATAGGCCAGAACCCACCTTGCTGGGGTTCGGGCTTGGGAGGGTTTAGGGTTTAGGGTTTAGGGTTTAGGGTTTAGGGTTTAGGGTTTAGGGTTTAGGACAACCCTAAACCCTAAACCGTAAACCGTGTTTGCAATCACTGCAGCAGCTGAGGGGTCAGGACAACGTGCACAGCGGCCCCGGCTCCAAAAAAAGGTTTAGGGTGGTCAGGGTTCCCTAAACCCTAAACCCTAAACCCTAAACCCTAAACCCCAAACCCCAAACCCTAAACCCTAAACCCTAAACCCTAAACCCTAAACCCTAAACCCTAAACCCTAAACCCTAAACCCTAAACCCTAAACCCTAAACCCTAAACCCTAAACCCTAACCCATCCATTGAACCCTAAGCTTCCTCAACCCCAAAAAAGTCCACCTTAAGTTCCCTGGGCCCCCCGAATCTCCAGAGTCCCTCTAGAAAGCAGCCCTAGAGACCCTCAGCCCGAAGCTCCCTACCTCCCCTCAACTACAGTTAACTTTAGGTTTTTGGGTTTCGGGTTTAGGGATTAGGGTTTAGGTTTAGGGTTTAGGGGGACTTGAATGGGAAACCCCAAACAGGGAACCCCTAGAATTTCGTAGGATGAAGGCTCGGAATCTACCTCCCAAAATCCTTACATCCACTTTATAAAGTCCTACGATGTTGTTCGGCTTCCCTGCTTGGGGTTCCGAATCAGGATTCCTTCGTTAACTCCCCCCCCCCCCCAATAGTTATGTCATGGTATATAGGGGGGGGGGGGGGTGTTCATTTCATATTAGGGTTTAGGCGTGGTTGAATATTAGGGGGAGGGCGGGATCAACTCCCCCTTGAAGATGTTGGGCATCGGGAGGCCCGCGTCCCAGCAGCGACAGCGAGATGACCCCCGAGGATGCGCTGACGCGCCATTTGGGCCAGGCTTTTTTTAAGAGATGTCGGCTAAACCCTATAAGCCCTATAAACCCTATAAACCCCATAAACCCGATAAACCCTATAGACCCCATAAACCCTATAAAACCCCATAAAGCCCTATAAAACCCTATAATAGTTCGGCTTGAACTACCCAAAATCCCATTCTAGCTTGCTGGCCGAGAACCCTAGCCCTAAACCTTTACACCCGAAGAAGCCTAGGCTTTGCAAGCCTTTGCTGCGTGCCTAGCATGGGAAAAAGCCCACGACAATCCGAGGCATGGGTCAGCTGCTGTGCAGGCTCTGCACAATATTGTGGCGGTTTAGGGTTAAACCCAAAACCCTAAACCCTAAACTCCTTTGCACGTAGGGTCTCGACTCCCTAGGCCACTAGAAGCCCTGAACCTCCATGAACCTCTCCTGCCTTCGATTCGCATGGCCTCCTCAATAGCTACCATTTGCTTAAGGACCCCAAAAAGAATAAATGATAGCTATATTCCCCCTTAAGCAAACCCCAAAAAGAATAAAAGATAGTAGTCCCTATATTCCCCCGAATAAGAAAGAATCTTATTTTTTTGCGGGGTTCTTAAGCAATTAGTAGAGAAGGCTTCCCGTGGAGCTCCGGGTTTCGGCTTGGGGGCAGACGGTCACAGGATCGGTGCAGGGGTTCGGGCTTAGAGTAGCAGACGAATGAAGCCTAGGGTTTAGGGTTTAGGGTTCAGGGTTCAGGGTTCAGGGTTCAGGGTTCAGGGTTTAGGGTTTAGGGTTTAGGGTTTAGGGGCCACGCTTGATGGAAAAGGTGCTTGCATGAAAGGTCCTCTGCCCTGTCCATCGACCCACCTATCGAAGGCAAACCTACGCCGCAAACCCCTGTACAAGTAGTTCTCTAAATTAGGATTCCTTTGGGCGTCCTTACCATAAGCATGCAGCACCACATAGGGGACCTAAAAAGGACCCTAATTCAAACAGCCACCAATATGCCCTAGACACTAAACCCTCAAACCCCAACGCCAAAGCCCCTAACCTTAAACCCAAACCCTAAACCCTAAACCCTAAACCCTAAACCCACTAGGTGGGCGACGAGCCAGTCGCCTCCGCTGGCGCTGCAGATAGGACCTCCAGGGCCGGTAGTCACTGTAGAATGCGTGTAAGGAAGGGTTTTGGATTTAGGGCTTAGGGCTTAGGGTTTAGGGCTTAGGGTCGATAATCACTGGTCGAATGCCTGTAAGGAAGGGTGAGCATCTGTATGTGTATATGGCATGTGCTGAGGCATGTGTATGTATGTGAGATACATATGTATACATATATACATATTATATCTTTATATGTGTATATATATATATATGTGTAGATGCTACTGCTTTAGCAGAAAAACGGTTTTGGAGGGGGGGCTGCCAGAGATTCAGATGGTCTAGGGTTTGGGGTTCCGAGCTCCCCAAGCTAGGCAGGTGGTACAAGTCATGCAAAAAAAACCAAGAGGCCTGAAACCCTCCGAACTTTTTCACCGAAGGCGGGCCCGATATGCTCCAGGGTTGAGGGCTGTGCAGGGTTTAGGGTTTAGGGTTTAGGGTTTAGGGTTTAGGGTTTAGGGTTTAGGGTTTTAGGGATCAGCCCCACATCCCTGACATCATCCAGGAATCGACTTCGGCAGCATCGTGTCGGTAGAGCTACCGAATACGCATCAGCTCAGTTGCTTCGGCCTCTCGGCTGTGCATCTCTCATGCCCGGGGAGAGGTGAGGGTTTACGAAAATAGGTGGTGCCCTTTTTGGGGGGTCCCTTTCAGGGGATTCTAGCCTATTTGGGGTATCTTGAGGAGTTTAGGAAATATCCTGGTGTCCCCAAGCCATATCTTGTTAAGCCCAAGGCGTCAGTTTTGTTTTCGGGCTGCGCCCAAGACACTTTCATGTAAAAAGGAGCCCTTCGTTTAAGAGGGTTCGGGCATAGCATCCCATGCTAGAATCGCAATGTGCGGCAAGCAACAAGTGAGCTTCGAGTTTTTTGAGGCCCCGCCTGAAGCTCACTAAACAAAGTCTAGGGCGGCATTCAATGGCTGATGGGCCCTTCTCGAATACAGGGTTCATAGGGCTTACCGGTTTTACAGGGTTCAGTATGGGGTGCTTGGGCTTAAGCGGACTTATGGGGTTTACAGTATTTTGAGACATCTGGTTTGCAGAGCAGGTTTATGTCCCAATCCCCCCCCCATCCCCGCAGCTGCAGGCGTGTGCAGCTTGAACTCTGACTTCAGCCAGCGTCTATTTGGTTCCCTTTGAAAGCCGTACAGGGTGCTTGGGTTTTGAAAGCCTTCTGCAAATACCGCACCTGGAACCTAAATGCAAGCCTCTCAACTTCTCCTCTTCCCGTGCTCTGCGCTATATATGCCCCAAGGCACAGCAGTAGAGGGCGCGCGGCGGCTTACCGTGCTTTGGCGCAAAGTGGGCTTGAGGCAGGCTATGGGCCCCCCTTTTGTATCCTAAGGTTTTTCTGGCCTGGACGGTAATGGAGTGTGAGAAAAGGGCCCATGATTTGGGTCATACCCCCCCTCCCCCCCCAGGTGCGCTTCTGAACGTTGTACATGCTGCAGCTTTTTCAGTTAGGGTACCCTGACTTCGAGTCTGGAAATAGGCTTTCTTGAGGCGGCTTGAGGGCGTGGCTCGAGCCCTAAGCACTATAATGACAAAGGGGTCGCCCACATAGTCTTGGAGGCCTTGGAGTGTGTAGGGCCTTGGCTTGAAAGCAAACTGTGTAGCGTGTGAGAGAGGGTGCAGATGCTGAGGTGCAAGGGTTGAGGGTTCCCCTGCAAAGCTCTGCAGACGCCCCAACCAAAACTCTGAACCCTAAACCCTAAACCCTAAACCCTAAACCCTAAACCCCCAGCACCTCTCGGCCGCGATGGTGACCTCGTGATGAGAGGCTGAGCCTTTGGAGTGATGCTGCGCGTGTGGACGCCAGCAGGGGAGGAGGTGGTGTCGATGCCCATACAGGAGCTGACCGACGTTGCCTCCCTGAAGAAGCAGCTGCAAAAGTTCTGTGGCTTACCAAGGTTTCGGCAGAGGCTTCTCCATGAGTCCACCGTGCTGGAGGATGACACAAAGCTGGCATCCCAGATGGACCTTCAGCTGGTGCTGCTGCCATATGCTGGCAGCCCTGAGGTGCAGAGGATCCTGGGCGCCGCACAGAATGGGCGGGCCGCCGAGGTCGAGGAAATCTTGAAACTGCCTCAGGATCCGAACCTGGGAGACGGTCAGAGGAAAACAGCCCTTCACGGTGCATCGATGACCGGGCATGTGGAGGTGGTGCAGGTGCTGCTGGAGGGAAGAGCTGATACAAACATGACTGACCAGAACGGGCGGACAGCTCTTCATTATGCGTCCGGCTCTAGCTACGTCAAGGTGCTTCGGATGCTGGTTGAGGCTGGGGCGGACGTGAGCCTGGCGGACGAGTTTGGGAACACAGCCTTGCACCTCGCATCCGCAGAAGGCCATCTCGCCGCTGTCCGTGCGCTGCTTCAGGCTGGATCCGAGGTAGATTTTCGGAATGTTTTATGTGACCCCTTATTTGGGTTTGTGAGAACCTATTTTAGGAACAAAAGCTCAAGGCTTTCAGTGGTCCGAACCGAGGAACCTGTATAAACGCCATCGACAAGCAGCGCCGAACTGCTCTTCACGACGCCTCGGAGAGGCCCGGATGCTCTTTGACACTCTTTTGCTGCTATACTTGTTCTTCTAGGATGCCCAGTAGTACCCTTATTCCCTTTTTTGGGGGGTTTAGGTTCCCTTATAAACCCCTTTAAGCAAAAAAGGGCACCCTTTTTAAGCCTTGGTTACTGGGCAGCCTAGTCATGGACACGCAGCTTCAAACCTCACATCGGGAAGGGGTTTCCCCAAAAAAATCGGGTTGACGTTCTCACGGCATGCAAAAGAACGAGACCGTCATTGAGTGGACTACCCATACTTCGAGCTTCTCAGAACTATCCCTACAGGTCCATGTACCTAAATAGGGAAGACTTGGGCCTCGAATTGCCTCTTATGTAGGGACTTTGGGGCCCAAAATATAGAATCATGAGGTAATGTTAGGGTAAAGCATGCGATGCGCAGAGCCACCCCAAGGAACGGCCACGTGGCCACCGTGCGTTTGCTGATCGACGCAGGCGCCTGCCAAGATGTCGAAGATAACGACGGCCAGACGGCAGCCTTCTACTTTGGAAGGTTCTGTTTCAATCACATGGACACCGTGTTCCCATGACCTCGCTGAAAAGTCGGCAGTCTCACCCTCCATGCAGACCCAGGGGCACGAACTTCCCATGTGTGCCTGCACTGATTGCGAGTTTGTCATATCATATGCTATGAAGAGCAGCTGCATAGAAAATTGAGGGCGCGGCGCGCGCGCGCGCGCGAGAGTGTCCCAGTAGCCGCCCTTCCTGTCCGGATGTGATGTCACGAGTTCGGATCTTCAGCTTAAGTGGCTTCCACTAGTATGCCCATTTTGGGAGGCATAGCTAGGGCGGCTTTGCGTTGGCGTGGAAGCATGGACTCTGCTGGGCCGCAAGCTGCGGTGCAGTAGAGTCAGCAAGCTCTATAGGGTATCTTGCCTGTGGACACGGGGAAGGTACAGGTTTCTCTCAAAACCTTGAACCCTAATTACCTTCAGAACCCATGACCTACTTGTCTGTAGGCAATTATTACTACAAAACCCCCTGAAAAGATTCTTAGGCAACCAAAAAAAGCAGGGTCTGGGCTCTGAAGGTAAGCCCTAAGCAATTTCTCAGGGTTTTTGCAAAGGGCATGGAGTGGCCGGGGATGTGTGGTTTAGGGTCCAGGGCTTGGTTAGGGGTTGACAGAGCCTTTTTGGCAGGGACCTGTTTATCAATGTTAGGGGATAATGATATCGAGTTTTTGGCGCATGGAGTGTTGCAAAGGTCGCACCTGTTCGGTTTAAGCAGCAGAAAAAAACGATGCATCACTTGAGCTTTTTCAGGTCAGCGAAATCATGTGTTTACTTGTTCAGTTTTGGCTTTGGCTGGTGTCTTGGGCGGGTGCAAGTTTTTGTTTTCGGCTTCGCGCTGGCGAGAAGTTGTAGATTTCAAGATTGCGCGGCTTGACATTTTGTGGAGTCCCACCCTATATAATTATAGGGCTCATGGTTTAGGCCCCTAAACCCTAAATCCTAAACCCTAAACAGGGCTCCCGAAACCCGATGCAGCACACTGCTTTCCGAGGAAACATCGCTCAAGGACTGCACCGTGCACATCTCTTCTGCGGTGAGGCGTGCGTTCCCACTTGGTAGTCCTCACTCCCTCTGAGATGTTGTGCAGTTTCCGTGTAGCTTAGGGGCTTGAAATCTTTCTTAGAAGGGAATCGTGCGCGACAGGATCTTCCTCGCATGTTACGTTCCGCTCTTGCCCATTTTCGTGGGGCACAACATGTGGGGGGCCTGGGGCCTGACGATTTCAGGGGTTTTGGGTTTAGCGTTGAGGGTTCAGGGTTTTCAGTCTGACGTCGTCTGACTGGGCGCTCGAGCCGAGTCATGTGTCGACTCTCTAGACCTCACACCGTCCAAAGGGGTAAGAATATATTAGTCGCCCATGTCCCCACACCGACAAACAGAACGAAATGCAGAAAAAGAGAGAACAAAACAAACATGAGATATGAGGCAGCTTCAGAATGTCCAACATTTGTCCCCTTAAAACCCCCCCCCCCCCCACATGTAAAATGAGCATTGCCTAAGCCCCCTGAACCCCAACAGCAGGCATCAGTTGGGAGCTCTCCGCTTCATCCCGCTGATCATCGGAAGCAGCTCAACCTTCTACCTGGAGGCGAGGAGGGAGGGACTGGAGGGTGTGAAGCCCTACACCCTCTTAGGCGTCTTGCTTTTGCGTGCAGCTTGGTTTGGCATGATGTGGGATGAAAAGAACGCTAGCATCTGCATGCTTTCAGGGAACACATCCTTCGGGACTAACCAAGGGGCTAGACCTAGTTCGAAACTGACTCAAAAGCCCAAGCCCTAAACACTTGCGGTCTGGTTGCCCTAGGTGGGATTCGGGACACCCTTCAATGGGGACCCCTTCTCAACCCTCTTCCGGCGCTCTAAAGGAGGGACCTTATTGAGAGGGTCCATATCCCCAGGGGTCCCCTTAATCCTATCTCCTAGGTTGTTGTTGGTAGGAAGGTTTGGTCAAGGGCTCTCCTTGCCGCAACACTCCTAAGGTAACTCATTGTGGTTGTGGGAGAAGAGTGCTGTTGGCCGACCCTGCCTCGTGGGATTGTAGTCGTTTCAATCCCCCAAACTGCTACCCTGCGGTGCGGCGGGGATGCCTGGCGGAAGGGAACCCTAAACGCTGCACACCTCCTAGAAACTCCCGGACCCTCAACTGCAAGCTGGTGCATGATGCCTGAACCCTGAACCTCGTTCACTGTCCTTCACCCTCCAAACCCTTGGGCCCAGGCTTTTACGGAGGTTCCCGACCCAGAGGAGATGCCTGTGGGGGGGGGGGGGCGGGTTTCGGGTTTAGGGTTTAGGGTTTTTAGGAGGGTTGAGGGTTTAGGGTTTGGGGGCTGAAAGGCGGGGGGGGGGGGGGGGGGTGTCTGATCGTGAAGAAAGGCCATAGGCTTAGTCAGGCTTTCAGGGACTTCGCAGGAGTCTGTACTTACGGAGTTTTTCCGAATCCGACAGTGCCCAACCAGCAATAAGTGCAACTGCGCGACGCGCCACGAGTGACGCGTAAGGCCCTAAGCCCGAAGCCTTAAGGAGTTCAAAGAGTCCGCATTAGCGAAGCCTCATGCTCCAAAACCCAGTCGCGTTAAGCGGGCCAAGATATAGTTCAAGGGCCTAGGCGTCATGTGCTCCAACAGGACGGTTTTGAGAACCTCGCCAATGCTGGATATCTTCAACAGCATCGAATGTAGCGCTCTGCTCTGTGAACCCTCTAGCCCTGAGGCCCTGTTTCTTAGCTACTGGCCCTAGACTGAACCCTAACCCCAAGAGTCAAAGGTGTAAATATTTCTTAGCTACTGGCCCTAGACCCTGAACCCTAAGCCCTAAGACTTAAAGGACATTTGTTTCTTACTTAATCAGGGCTTGTAACCATAGTTAGTTTAGTAAGGGGGCTCCTCCTTGTAGGAGCTAAAGGTGTAAATATTGGGATGATCCTCCTTAAACTAACAGTCCTCTACAGGGATTACAGTAACCCCCTATTATAGCGTAGAAGGGTCCTGAGTAGTTAGGGGCTGTAGTACCCCTATTGTAGTCCCCATTAAGGACTGAAAAAGGGGGAACATCCCAATGAAAAACATATTTCCGCAAGCCCTAAACCCTAAACCCTAAACCCTAGGAGTTAAAGGTGTAAAAACTTCTTCGCTCATCGGGGTCTTGGGATGGGGAGGAGACGGAGACCGGCGACGAGGAGTCGAGCAGCCCCAGGCAGCGTCGAACCACCAACAAGCGCCCAGGCTTCAAGTTCCTCGTAAGCCCTAAACCCTAAACCCTAAACCCTAAACCCTAAACCCTAAACCCTAAACCCTAAACTCTAAACCCTGACTGTGCGGGAGCGAAAAATCAGGCTAGGCTGAGTCGTTAGAACGGCCATTGTGAATTCGCAGCGATGCTTATGTCATTAGCTCGGGACCTCGGACTGGTTTAAGCAGCTTTTTTTTCACGCTAAATCACACGCGGGGCCCTCCTGGATCGTAACCGTCTTGTGGTCTTAAGGGCCCGAGTCGTGCCTTGGAGCTCGGAGCCACAGGCATCTCTGAATAAACAAACACGGAAACGTCTGTGTACTCAAGTTGTCGTGTGCTCACAATACATTACCTGCAGCGACTGTTCAAAACGAATGCCCTGTCGCATAGGCATAGAGTCTTAAAGGTGTCGATAGTGAACTTTTACGATCCAGGAGGGGCCGTGTGATTGAGCGTGATTCAGCGTGAAAAAGGGACCCAAAAACCAGTCCCACACCCCTCTGTTGAAGAATAAAGGAAAGAGAAAAAGGACTTGCTGCGGAAGAAGAAAGGAATGAAAAAAGGGCATTCCTTCAGCACCCACATGAATCCTTTCCAAGCCCATCACACGACCATTGTGCTTGCATGCAAGCTTGCTCCTTGTCTAAACTTAATGTTCGAAAGTGCTGACATATAATTAGGGCTCTTCGAGGGAAGAAGAAAACAGAAGCGAAAGCAAAGGGTTTAGGGTTTGGGGTTTAGGGTTTAGGGCTTAGGGTTTAGGGTTTAGGGTTTGGGGAACAAACTCCACCCTTCCAAACCGTCACACGCCCAGAGTGACCAGATTTTAGCCAGGCATGTTCAAGTACAGACTGCAAGAAATGTTCTACTTCACAGCATGTGGAGCTTGTGAACAATCAGAAATGTTGTAATTCACAGCGTTTTGAGCTTCTGAACTCCATGCTTGGACTTGCAGCCTCCTCCATCTTACACTTTTGTTAAATCGTTTACAGCATTTGAAGCCTGTGAATAGTCAGAAACGCTGTAATTGAGAGCCTTGGAGTTTGGGCTTAGTGACAAAGAAAAGCAGCAGTTGACAGCACTCGAAGCTCAAGCAGAAATGCTGTCATCCACAGAGATTGGATAGAAACGCTGCAAGTCGCAGCATTTGGAGCTGCGTAGGACGTAGATTAAAATCAGCATCTGGAGCCGGCCAGGAAAGCTGGTGTTTTTCAACGTTTAGAACCCGCGAACAAGTCAGAAGAGCTGCATTTCAGATCATTTCAAGGAAAACAAGCCAGGGCCAACCTCAGAACAAACAAACCGTCCGCCAGTACTATAGCCCCCTTCAGGATTCTTAGAGGCAACAAACACCAAAGCGTAATTTGAGGGATCAGGGTTTGTACGAGCCTGAACCCACCCCCCGCTTATCTTCGAGAGCCAACCTTGGTAAAGACTGCCAAGGCTTGCGATGACGTCGACCTTGTCCATGGAGGCTTCTCTTGTGTTTAGGGTTTATAGGGTTGATAGTGGGGTTTAGGGCTGTTTAGGGTTTGGGGTTGAGACGCGCGAGCCCAGAGGCTTACAACAAGTATCACATCAGCCTAGCAGTCTAGCCGCCGCAGTCTAGACAACTTCTAGCTGCAGATTTCCCTCAACAAGAGTCACCAGGCCTTGAGCGGTGCGATGACCTGCGACCTCTGCCGCGACATCTAGGGTTTAGGGTTTAGGGTTTAGGGTTTAGGGTTTTTATAGGGATTAGAATACCCCAATACATACTCTACTGCTAAGTCAGAGAAGAACACAGAGTTCACAGCAGTTGGAGGTGGGTGGCTTATTCAAGTGGAATTGGGTTTTATGCCTCTATGCGGCTTCTTTGGAAGGGGGGACTCCCTGGAATAAAAAAGAACCCCAACAAGCCTCAATTCCCCAAGATTGGCTTGGGTGGGATTTACCTTGAGGGTTTAGGGTTTAGGGTTTAGGGGTCAGGGTTTAGGGTTTAGGGACGATCTCCGAGCCGCGTCGCCGCTGCTTTTGGGCTCCCGGAAGTGTATCTTTGCAGCCGCAAAGAGGGGGGCTGCCTTGAGGGTGTAGGGCTTCAGGATTAGGTATGGATGTAGACACCCCAAGCCAAACCCTCAGAACCCCTAGTCCCTCCACCCGGGGCTTGAAAAGCTCCACTCAAAACTCGTCCGGATGACCCCCCACGACATCGCGGGCAAGACTGGAGCACGCATAGGGTTTCAGTATAAGGTTTTCGCAGTTCCGCAAGCCCAAAAGAATGGAGCTAGACACTCCCTCAGCCAGGGGAGATGACAGGCTAGGCTTTTCGGGCTTACAGGGTTCAGGGCTTATAGGGGTTTAGGAAGTAGGGTCAGGGTTCCCTTTTTAGATTTTCGGGGCTCCCTTGGAGCATGTTCGCCTGCGCCCACTGCCTCTGCGTGGCTTTCGCAGCGCTGTGCTCCCTTTACTTGCAGGCCCCTTGTCTGTCTGGTTCTTAGTAGGGAATGAGGGAATGAGGTACCCTGTAACTCCATATATACATATATATATATATACATCTATCTATCTATCTACCCATGAAGTGATTATGCAGGATAGCTCATTCCCACAATCCCTACCAAGAACCTGGGGACCGTTTGCTTTCAGGGAGGGACTGATATGGGTGTTTACGAAAATTGGGGACCCAGCCCCCTTGAGGGTAGGATTCCCTCATAATATTTTCGGGAGCCCCCATACTACATTGGTTAGGTTTTTGTTACGTTATTTTGATGAGTGCAGATAGGGTTCCTTATTCCGGAAAGTGGTGTCCTTTGAGGGATGCGAGTAATTCCTATGGTTCATGATTCAGCGATGGTTTGCAGTGGCTGCTTGCTTACAGAGGTCTGAGGTCGTTGTCCACTGGCCACGTTGGGTTTGGAGTTTCCGGATGTTCTCTAAACCTCAAACCACTACAATGCTGCAACCTTGCCACGACGCCCGAAGGACGACCCAGCTTCCAAGTACTCTTGCTTCTGATGACTTTATTCACATTTCTTCGAGTCTTCAAACAACAACTCCATTCACCGCACCACCCCCCCCCCCCACCCCCCTCTTGCCCGGAAAGAACAAAAGAGCAGAGTTTTAGAAAACGGCCATAGCCCAGGGGTGCAGCTCCTACGAACAGCCAGCCTGGGCGTTCCGCCCCATCTCTGCGGCGAACAGAAGCGGCGGCTCGTGCTTGTCTAACATGGTGTTAAAGAGGCAATATGACCTACTCCTCTTAGGATGCTTAAGAGGTACTTCTCAGATTACGAAAAAAAGGTGTCGAGGTGAGGTTCCTGTAAGTTTTGGGGTGGTCACACTGTGGGATGGTTAGGGCGCAGGAAACCCAAAGTCCAAAGCCCGGATGAGCCCAACGTCTGAACTTAGAGGCTAAGGGCCCCACAGCTAAGGGATATAAAAAAGGGACCCTTCATCTATTTTCCTATATAGACCTTATATAATGCCCCTAGTGTCCCTTGTAGTGAGAGTTAGAAGTCGAGGTTTTTGGGTTGAGGGTGTCGGGCGTAGAGCTGATTTGAGAAGGGTTTAGGGTTCCATGCTTCCCTTCGGGTTTACGGAGTTTGTCCGTATGGCTCAGAGCTTCAATGTCACCAGCGACCTGGGCAGACACTTGCACATTGTCCTGTAACGCACCCAAAACCCTGCAACTCTAAGTCCTAACGCCCGCCATCCCAACTCTTTTGCTAGGCTGCTGGGATGTATAGCCCCCCTCTGAACAAGATGTCAAGCTGGGTTTAAAGGTTTAGGATGTAGGGTTTCGGGTTTAGTGGCCTAGTGTGGCCGCAACGTGAGCTTTGGAAGCCAAGGCAACGGGAGCAATGAGAGCCCAGGGATAAGGTCCCCCGGCTTCTTGAGAGACTGGCGGCTTGAGATTTGGAGTACCCTCAAATTCCCCCCCCCCCCACCCCAAAGGATGAGCCCTAAACCTTGAACTCGGAATTTCAGAGGTTCCTGGCAATTGAAAAGCCTCGCGCCGATAGCTTAGGGGCCTATGGTCCCCGAAGGAGAGGGAAATGCCCATCCTTGTGTGTCCAGGAGGGCGTGGTCTGGTGGTCGCTTGCGGTTACAGCTTTCTGAGACTGAAGCTGATCAGTCCACTTTGAGAGGGTTTACGGCTTTTCGATACAATTACCCGGAGACAGCCTTTGAGCAGCTAGGGCGAGGGACCGTGAGGGGCGGCAGTTTTTCATACTGTGAGGAGCCCACGCTGAACATGGTCCTGGGTTTAGGAGAGCGCCGCGCGCAAGTCCCAGTGCTAGTCTGTTATCTCAAAGCCGGCATTTGCGCGGTTCAGAGTTACAAGGGTACGAGGATGCCCTGTAACTGCTTTTGTTTGGGTTCAGGTTCGTATTCCATAACTACTACTGAAGCAATCAAAAGTGCACCCTGTTCCACTCCTGGCTCGGATCGGAAGCCTGGGTAAGGGCATGCAATTTAGCCATAAACCCTCAAGCCTCAACCTGCGCCCGTGTGGCCCACGAAAGGCGAGTGAGTTTTCCAAGATTTCAGTTCTTGTCGGGACAATGTCTTAAGTAATACAGGGGTCGGAATAACTGCTATTATTATTCCCTTCGGGTCCCTTTGTAACTATACTGTAATACCCCCCCCCCCCAAAACCCTATTCTAATTATTCCGGCCCCTATTTTCGCTGACCAAGTAGGGTGCAGTCGAGCGGAGCGTGCGTTCGTCCCACCTTGGCCACAGAGTCTGGCAGCCTGAGGACGACGCCCGTCATACACATCCAGCAGGTCTACTTCGGATCAGAGGATGGCTCGTGCCGAAGCGGCATTCAGAGTTGCCCTGTGAACTTTCTCAATGGAAATGGAAACGGTTTAGGGTTTCAGGGTTTAAACCTCATATCTCTGAACCCTTCAGCGGCTCTGTTTGTGCTCACGAAAACCCTTCGTACAATTCTCAGGCCCCACACATGTCATTTTCTGCTCCTAGACTTATATCTCTAAACCCTCAACCCCCAAACTTCAGGAGTCAACCACCACCAGTTTCGGGTTTACTGGGTTGAGGGTGTTGGGGTCTAAGCTTTAGTATTTTTTTTTGGCCGAGGGAGGGGGGGGTGAGCTCACGGAGCCCAAGTTGGCCCTGAGCAGAATTCCATTATGTTTTAAGGGCTGTTAGTATGAGGAGGGACATCCCAGCTTAAACCTTAAACCTTTTCCTCCACCACGTGGCCGGCCGAGGATCTACGCCCTGCACATACAGAATGGCACTGTTGTTTGGCAGTTCCAAACTGGACGACCCGACTTGTTTGCGCCATGCGCACATCAAGGAAAAAGCCAGCCCCCACCCTGAACCAAGGATATATATATATAACCCTAAACACTAAACCCTAAACCCGAAAGTCCCAAAACCCACAGCTGAAGAAGCCGAAGCACCAAGATCCGGTCAGATGACGCCTTGTGCATTTGTGTTCTGTCTTTGGTCCGAGAACGAGCGAGAAGAGGCTTGGAGACCGCCAATTGCCACGGAGTTGACTCTGAGGCGTTGCGGTGCAGTCTGTGTGGTGCGTGGTTGTTTCGGACTGGGTCTATGGCCCTACTTTCCCTCGAGGGCCCTATATTCTGGTTTACCATTTGCGGCCTGCAGACTGCACTGCAAATGGCTTTGTTCATGGCATTTTGAGCTTTAGAGTCCTTCCAAACGGCCTCTTGTCCCCCAGTGGCCATCCACTTCAGGGGTGAGTTGGGGGGAGGGGGGCGCAGGCCCCGAAGCTTCAGCCCAATTTTCCAGTTCCTGAACATTGCAAAATAAAGCCCACAGCAACCCAACACCACGCCAGGCGGGCCGGTGCGATGCTCACCACTCGTATGTGATAACAATGCCGCTTGACATGAGGTTTAGGGTTTAGTGTTTAGGGTTTGGGGGAGGCTTCCGTTGCTCCTACAAAAGGGTGTAGGGTTTAGGGCTCAGGTTTGAGGAGTTTAGTGCCAAGCCAGGAGCACTTCAAGCCCCAGGTTTGGGATACCTTGGCCCTCCTCCGAAGCCTCGACCGTCGTGGTATCTGTGTGTGGTATTTAGGGTTTAGGGTTTAGGGTTTGGGGTTTGGGGTTTAGGGTTTTTTAGGGCTTGGAGTTAGGTTTTTAAGCCGAATCAGTGGCGAAGGCAGTTTAAGCTGGAGATTTGTTTGTTCGCCAAAAAAACACCCTCTGCAAACCTCAGAGCCCCCAGCATCTCCTGCTGAACCCGAGCCCCTAAACCCTCAAATGCAAAGCCTCAATGAATCCTTGTGTTGGACTGTTGTACCCAACAAAAAACCTAAAGCTTCCCGATCTCAACGCGCCTTCGACATGAAACAAGGTGGCCAGGTGTCGCCAAGAAGGGGGTAACTCAAACGCAGACGGTGCCAAGAAAAAATATTGGGTCATGAGTTCTAGGCTGGTTGTCTTGGTTCAGGGTTTGTTGTGGTTTCGGGGGTCTAGGGTTTAGGGTTTAGGGTTGATAGGGCTGAACCCTAAACCCCAAACCCTAAGCCCTAAACCCCAAACCCGAAACCCTAAACCGTAAACCCTAAACCCTACGCAGGTGAACTTCGGCTCCGACGACGGCAAGTTCTACGCTGCCACTGGGCCCTCGAGACCCTTGAGCCCTACAAAGCCCACGACTAAGCCTAAACCCTAAACCCTAAACCCTAAACCCTAAACCCCTTTGGGGTATGTGATGGGTAAATGTTGTTGCTATAGGACTGTATCCACATCCTAGCCCTACAAAGCCCAAGACGCTATTTGGGGTATGTATGACGGGTAAGTGTCGGTATGTGATTGTAATCAGATCTTGTTCTATTCATGTTTGTAGCGGTATATAGTTACATTGTTATTCTTTCTGGTGCCTTAAACCCTAAACCTTCAATCCTACCCCTATGTTAGGTCCCCATGTCGCGGTGGCTTAGCGGAAGTCTATAGGAGTAGGGCCGTATATGGAAAACTGGCCTTAGGGAATCTGCTGCTGTATGTTTAGGGTTTTAGGGTTTCGTTTAGGGTCGCTGCGACAAGCTTGTGCAAAAAAGGGGTTTATTTAGGGTTGCCTTCCCACGGGCCTCTGAAGGGCTTTCGGGAACCTGCCTTTCGGGAGGGACTTGAAAGGTTTTTGGTTCGGGATAGAGAGAGAGAGAGAGAGAGAGAGAGAGAGAGCCAGAGCTACGAGCCCCATGAAAGAAAGAGAGAGAGAGGGCTTTGTAGTTTATCTAACGGCGTGAGTCGGGTGTAAAGGCGGGGCTTAGGTCTTGCATCTTTTTGGAGGGTAGCAGAAGGCCTTAAACCCTAAACCCTAAACCCTAAACCCTAAACCCTAAACCGTGGCAAAAAAAAGCCCCAAGCCCTGGCTTATCTCAGAACCGCCCCGGGCATCCCTACGCCCAGGTTGAGGCGAGAAGTGGCAGGGCGACGCAGCTTTGCTCATTACCCTTCGACCTTTATGTGCATAGGTGTATTATGTATGCGTAGATGCATACCACATAAATACACGAATAAATGAATAAATAAACATATATATATTTTTGTAACAACATATGCTCACCCCCCCCATGACCTACCGCAAAAAAAAAAAATATATATATATATATATAGATATGTATTTGTTTTTTGTTTGTCGATCTCCAGCAACTGTTCTTTCGACCATGAACCGGAACTTAAAGCCAATCCAATACAGAAAGTCCTTTTGCTCCGTTTTGTTTGGTTGATTTGAACCGAAAACGCGTAAAAAGCCTGGGTCGGCACGATTCGACGTCCTGAAGCCGGCCAGGCTTACCTTGCCAGCGTCCGATTCTAGAGGGGCCTGAGCCCTATAACCCTAAACCCCAGAGCGCTGAAGGGTGAAGAGGTGTCAGGGAAGGTGTGGATGCAAGCAAGTTTTTGAGGAACCCATGCCATTCATTGAAGGACCTGAAGGAAGTCAGCGGAAGACACGCCGGATGCAAAAGAGTGGGGACAAGCACACCCATAAGGCCCTGTGCCTGCCTAATTTATACAACGTCATGGTTAGGATAGTCGTATACTGCAATCAGAAAGTGGGTGCCCAAGACAAAAAAGGAAACTGCAACTGAAGGGCTGGGAGGCCCCAATGTTTGCAGGAAGTCGCAGTGCCAAGCGCAGCCTTGCCTTGTTTCAGGTGGATCTTCGATGCTGGCTCTCCCATTCGCACGACACCCATCTACAACAGCTTGCTGCTGGCCGGTATATGAAGGGGTCCTAAGTCCTATCCCGCCCGAAGCCTCATTTGGGCCTTACTTTTGGGTAAGTGTGGGTCGGCGCGGCATAGCCCGAAGTATAGCCTACAAGCCTCAGAATGAAAGCCACGCTCTGCGACGTTGGCTTACGTAGTTAGGGGGGTGCAGCGTTCAAAATTGGGCCACCCGTGGATTGTAGGGTTTAGGGTTTAGGGTTTAGGGATCTGATTTTCGGCCCATATTCTCCGTGAAGGCTGCAGGGGCCCCGTGGGCAGCAAAACCTCCACGTGGAAGGTTTCCTACGTGAGGGTCCCTTTTGGGGTATCTTTTCAACTGGGAACGCAGGGTCCTTTATCGAGCGTACCCTAAACCCTAAACCCTTTGAACGGGACCAGCTTTTCTGGTCTCACGAGGTCCAAATGAGTAGGCTTTTCACTGGGAATGCATCTCTGGTTTCCCCGAGAGCACCCTAATTTCAAAGAATTCAGAGCTTGGGATGTTGCCCCTTAGACTAACAGTCCTTAATGGGGATTCTTCCGGGATTCTCGTACCCCCTATGTTATCATCCCTAAAGGCGTGCTAGCACAAAGGGGGAACATCCCCAATCCAGAGCCCTTGACTCCGAGGCTCGAATACATCTACTTTGCCGCCAACAATGGCACGCTGTATGCCCTGAAGACGTGGGATGGCGATAAGGCCTCTCCCTTCACCCCCTCTAGGACCGGGAGTAGGCCCTTTTTTTTGGGGTGGGGTTGGGTTCCCTTATAATAGAATCCCATGAAAACCAAAAAGGGTACCCCTTTAGATTCCTAGGTGACTCCCGGGTCTAGACCCCAATCGCTTCCGGCCCGAAGTTCTTCTATTGGGGGGGTTTTGGGTTTGGGAAGCGCAGCCCAAAAGCCTACATGCTGCAGTGTAGTTTTTCAAAGTTCAATCGAACGTACATGAGTTTTGGCCTAGGGTTTAGGGTTTAGGGTTTAGGGGTCTAATATCTTCATGAAGGGCCCTTTTGGCCCTTGGCAGGATCAAGCCTAGGGCTGACTTCTGCCAGGATGGGCGATTAAATAGGCCCTATAATCCCCACAATTGCCCCATCAAGGGCCTTTTTAAGGGGTTACGGGGTATAATAACCCGTCCTGGGCCCATAATCAACCCTGTCAAGGGCCTTTTTAAAGGGGTTACAGGGTAGAATAACCCGTCCGGGGGGCCCTATAATCCCCGCAATCAGCCCTATCAAGGGCCTGTTTAAGGGGTTACAGGGTAGAATAACCCGTCCGGGGGGCCCTATAATCCCCACAATCAACCCTATCAAGGGCCTTTTGAAGGGTTACAGGGTATAAACCCTAAACCCCAAACCCTAATCATAACCCGTCCTGGTGTGCGATTCTGGCCAGATGTGGGACGTCACAGCTGATGGTGCGATCGAGTCCTCGCCAGTACCTCGCAGAATTTGTGTTGCTGGCCTAGGGGGGCTTCATGTTATTCCGCGAAGGGCTCCTGGAGTGTCGGGTTTACGGGTTTTAGGGTTAAGGGTTTAGGGTTTAGGGTTTAGGGTGCAAAAAGGGGTTTAGGGTCAAGGTGACCAGCTGATGCCTCCTCCATTCTCCTTTGGCTTTCTGCGGCGCTTGCTTCTTTTCGGGGGGGGTGGGGGGGGGGGGGGGGCGTTAGCGCAGCTTCCTGATCAGCGTTTGCCCCCTCGCCACCTACGCAAGGATGCCACCCCCAACCGTAAACCCGAAGCCCTAAACCCTAAACCCTAAACCGACCTAGACTAGATGCGTGTGGGCTGCTGGGGCTGGGCCTGGGAGCTGAATGTATCCAATCTTGCTGGACTTGACACAGCCTGGCTGAGCCCATGTTAACTGGGTTTAGTAACCCGAGAGGTGGCGCAGTGGCACATGCATATACTATGTGATGGGCGGATTTCTGGAGAATGCGTCTGTAGTCTGTATAGGCACGGTTTAGGGTTTAGGGTTTAGGGTTTAGGGTTTGACCTTGGGGCTTTGGGAGGGTGCATTCAACTCCTGCGCCCCACATCCAGGAGAGCTGTGCTGTTGGACTGAGGTGATGAACAACCAGCAGATCTACTTCGGTTCCGACGAGTTCTGGCAAGCCCTAGCTAACTTTGTTGTTTCTAAGTCGTTTTGGTATGTGGTTGCACTTGGGTCCTCCTCCTTTCACCTTTCCCCCCCTCCCAACACAAAGTAAGACCCAGCTCACCTCAAGTTTCGTCTTCTTTGAAATTCTCCGGTCGTCTGTTCTTGGGTACAGCGTGGAACAGGTGAGGTATACGAAACAGGATCACATGATTTTGGGGTTGGATTCTTGAAGTTGACCTCCTGCATTGCGGATCACAGTGACCACCCCCTGCTAACTTGATGTTCGCCCGAAAGTAGAGAAAGACACTGGCCTTATCTCGCGCCGGCCTCAGATGTAGGTGTCAAGGCTGCTCAGATCACATATCTTTGTATAGTGGATAGTGGAGGCTGCACCCTGAGCGATTGCCCCCCCCCCCCCCCCCCCCCCCCCCACACCCCCCCCCCCCCCCCCACCCCCCCCCCCCCCCCACCCCCCCCCCCCCCCCCCCCCCCCCCCACCCCCCCCTCACCCCCCCCCCATGCCGCCCGCCGCCCGAAAACACTTCTCGAAAGCAGGCCTTTTCACCATCAGAAGCGCTGGGCCGTACCCGTACGGGCCTTCCGAAGTGCACCTTATTAAAGGGCTGCCTTGCCGCAACAACAACCCGGACAAGAACAAGAACAACAATATCAATAGCAAGGCACGAAGAATTCCAAGAACAACAATAAGCACAACATGCAGATTTTGGGTTCTGAAGGTAGGCAACCACAAAGATGAAAGGTGGGGAGTTAGGACCATGACGCAGCTGCCGAGGATGGGATGCTATATGCTGTGTCGGCAGTTGACGGTGCTCTGTCAAGAGCACGAACCCTAAACCCTAAACCCCTAAACTCTATAAGACTCAGGGGAAATTTGTAAGGTGCACTTAAGATCGGCTGGGGGTGTGGGAGAAGGGTTTGTTCAGAGTTGTTGTGGCATTGTGGTGGACATCTGAAAGTCTAAAAGGGCTCAAGGGTTGTTTTTAAGGGTTTGAGAGGCCCACCCCTGCGAGTGTAGAGTTTAGGGTTTAGGGATGAAGCCTCAGCAGAGGTGCTGAGTCCTGACATGCAGAAGTTTCCAGGTACAAAAATGGATTTCTGTAGGGTTTAGGAATCCACCGAAACTCCCAAACCCAAGTCAGGTGTCCCTAAACCCTAAACCCTAAACCCTAAACCCTAAACCCTAAACCCTAAACCCTAAACCCTAAACCCTAAACCCTAAACCCTAAACCCTAAACCCTAAACCCTAAACCCTAAACCCTAAACCCTAAACCTAACCCTAAACCCTAAACCCTAAACCCTAAACCCTAAACCCTAAACCCTAAACCCTAAACCCTAAACCCTAAACCCTAAACCCTAAACCCTAAACCCTAAACCCTAAACCCTAAACCCTAAACCCTAAACCCAAGTCAGGTGTCCGAATCTGGCGCTTCAACGCCTTCTCACCGATCCGTTCCAGACCGGCGGCCACTGGATCTTGAAGGGGGCGGTTTTAGGGTTTAGGGGGATAAAAGGACGGCTTAAGGTTGGGTTGGGGTTCCCTATACTACCTGTAGTTAAGGGACTTCGACTGTAACCCGCAGTAACTTAAGATCCTTATAACCCAATTTAGGGTCCTTGTAGCTCTACTTGTAATTGTAACTAGCGGGGGCCCTCCGTGTAGAGGGTTTTCTACTTGTCATTGTGTTTGGCTTCTTCCAGCTTATCGGGCTTGTCTTGGGGTTTTGAACAGCCCAGACTTGCCTCCCCCCTCCCCCCACTCCAAACGAACAGCCACGAGGTGAACTTCGACATCGTCTTCACAGCGTGTGACGCGGGCGTGCCTGGACTCTCACTTGTGGGTTTCGTGGTTTTGGAGACCCTAATCCCTAAACCCTAAGGGGCTTCTAGCTTCGGGATGAGGGGGGCGGGGGGGGGATTTTCAGACTGAGGGCTCCTTCAAGCTTATTTCGGGTTTAGGGTGTAGGGTCAGTGTAGGGTTTGTCCAGCTGCAACAAAAAGAGGTGTGTGGTTTAGGGTTTAGGGTTTAGGGTTTAGGGTTTAGGGTTTAGGGTTTAGGGTTCAGGGTTCAGGGAGCTGATGAGCTGGTTCGCAGAGGCTCGCAAGCCTGAGATTCGGTAGGCTACGAAAGACTCTTGTTTAGAGGCTTGCTCAAAGAAAGGCCCTGCAAAAAAGTACGTTTATAGGGGCCGGGCTCCCCAGGTAACCCACAAAACCCTAAACCCTAAACCCTAAACCCTAAACCCTAAACCCTATGATCCCGCAGATCGTCTATGGCCTCGACGAAGTCACCGGAAGCAAGATCTGGGAGTTTGTCGCCTCGGGTCCGATTCGGCCCCTGTGACTATCAACGGGGTCGGCGGGAAATTGATATCCCCTTTTGCGGGCTTTTGAGGTGCAGTTTATAGGTAATTTACCACACTGAGGCCCGCGCTCGTAAGAGACCCCCAAAATATTCTAAGCCTCAAACTGTAAAACATGAACCCTTTGCAACAGGAAACCTCATAAAAGCGGTTCCCCTATTTGGGAGCCCTGCCCGAGCACCCCCAAAAGTTTCAGGCAGGCGAAGGTTAGGAACTAGATTTGCAGATTGCCCTTCTTCGGCATTTTGCGAGTCGGGTCGGCCCTTTCGGGTTTCGAGTCTTAGGGTCCGAAAACACCGAAAAAAAGGCTGCATCCCACGCTTGGACCTCATGGTTCCCACGCCCCTTCACGCTAGCGGCAGTCGAGGGTTCAGGGTTTAGGGTGTAGGGTTTCTCGAACTACCGGCTCTTGATCCTATTTGTCATACACAGCCTTGTGTACCCTAAACCCTAAACCCTAAACCCTTGTGTTGCGGGTAAGCCCCCCAGGTACGCGTTGGGCTATCACCGCGGCTTCGTGTATTTTGGGAACGACGCCGGAAACTTCTACGCTGTCAAGGAGAGCACAGCTTCCCCCTGCCCTTTCACCACAACCCTAGACCCCCAAACCCTAAACCCTAAGCCCTAAGCCCTAAACCCTAAACCCTAAACCCTAGACCCTGGCTTGTTCTGCTTGGTCCCGATTTGCTTTGCGCGACTTCGAGCCGAAGCGTCGAGATCTGCTTACAGCCTGGGAGCTTAGCCCGGAACCCTAAACCCTAAACCAAAAACCCTAAAAGTAACATTCCCAACTGGCGAAAGGTTTGGATGTTATTCTCAAGGGGCGGGGGCCCATTTGCCACCCCGGAGCCATCATTCTTCGGTTTTGTTTATTTTTTTGGGGGGGGCTCTTAAGCAAGTAGTAGTCGGAAGCACTTTCATCCGCACTTGAATACATGCTGTTACATTCGCATTGAAACTTGTGTGTTTCCTTCGTTTTGCCACCACTCGGTCGTTGCCTGATTCGTTTCGGGTCCTAATTCTGCAGCATGTCTCCCTCATTTCTGCCTGCCCTGCCCCCCATGAAACTCTCAAACCTGAATAAACTAGCACCGCCCTAAGGCCCGAAAATCATCAACGTTCGATGGACTCCCTAAACCCTAAACCCTAAACCCTAAACCCTAAACCCTAAACCCTAGTAGGTTATGGGTTCTTCAGGTAAACAAAATTCACAAAGCTGCTCTCGAAGGACAAGACTGGCCATGAGATATTCAGCTACCAGGCGCGGGCGCGTTCTGCATCTTAGGGTTTCGAGCTTAGGCTTAGGGTTTGGGCTTTGGGTTTAGGGTTTAGGGCTTAGGGTTTAGGGCTGAGGGCTTAGGGTTTAGGGTTTTGGGTTTAGTGTTTTCGGACCTTGAAAATAGGCTCGGCTTGAGATTGCGAGGATGCCGATGAGGCGAGTGCATGCAAGTTCGGCCTGACAATAAAGACGATGAACTAGGGTTTAGGGTTTAGGATGAACTTACTGATTTCAAAGTCTTGGTGCCCAGTGGTACCCTGGACCCCTGCCCCCCTTTGGTTCTGGGTTCCCTTATACAGTAACCCACCCCAAAAAAAGGGTGCCGTTGTTATAAGCTACCAAGGAGTTCAGAAATCAACAGTTGTTTCCGTATTTCATGAGTTCAAGGAGCTCACTGTTGAAATAGTAATTGTTTGTATCCCTCATTCTGAACTTGTTGGTGGCTTAGATGGCTAAACGCCCTAAAATGTGACTGTTTTTTATGGGCAGCAGCAAAAAGCTTTTAGATTCCATGCAGGTTCTGTAACATCTGCAGCGAAAAGCAGAGGTCACACACAGCAGGTTTAGGGGTTTAGGGTTTAGGGTTTAGGGTTTAACCCAAAAGGCAACCAAAAACACCAAACCGGTACAAAAAACAACTTGGAGATCCTCTGAGGCTGGCGGCCGAATCCGCGCCTCCACCCCTCCAGCGATAAACTCTGGGCTCCTTCGCGCACAGGTTTCGGGTTTAGGGCTTAGGGGTTTAGGGTTTAGGTTGGGGGTTTAGGGGTTTAGGGTTTAGGGTTTAGGGTTAGGGGTTAGGGCTTAGGGTTTAGGGTTAGGGTTTAGGGTTTAGGGGTTTAGGGGCTTAGGGGTTTAGGGGTTTAGGGGGTTAGGGGGTGAGGGGTTTAGGGGGTTAGGGGGTTAGGGGGTTAGGGGGTTCGGGGTTAGGGCTAGGGGTTTCGGGTGGGGAGGAGGTTCAGGGTTTCAGGATGTGGGGCTTAAGGGGTGGGTTTAGGGGGTGCAGGGTGCCTGGAAATGTTTTGCAGTCAGTCAGTCGCTGCCTCACTGCTTCAGCCAGCACCGCCCTGGTTGACAAGGGTTTGGAGTTTGGAGGTAACAAAGGGCTCCGGGATCAGGATTGGCAGAAGGTGGGGTGCTAGGATTTAAGACACGAGGGACCCCTAGAAGGGACCCCTTATTCCCCTATATAACCCCTATATCGACCTTGCGTAGTCCCTACATACCTAAGTAGCCCCCCAAAAAAGCCCTAAATGATCCCTAAGGTCCCTTAGAAGGTTCCCTCCTTTAATCCCTTGAGATTCATTTTTTTAATTTAACCCCCCCTCTCCCCCCCCAAAAAAAAAAACCCTCAATGACCCCTAAGGTCCCTTAAGAAGATTCCCTCCTTTAGTCCCTTGAGGGTTAGGGTTTCGGGTTTAGGGTTTAGGGTTATTTCGAGGTTGGGGAGTTGAGCTTGGGGCCATCCAGAATTCGTCGTCCTTCGCGGCGGGCAGAAACGACACTTGAGTGGTTTCTGGGGGTTCTGAGGGTTTGGGGCTCAGGGTTTAGGGTTGAGGGTTGAGGGTTGAGGGTTGGTTGTGGATCCTAAACCCTAAAGCCCCCCCCAAAAAACCCAAACCCAGTGAGGAACGTGATGTTTGGCTCTGACAATGGAAAAGTTGTCGCCATCTCCGACCTGAACGGTTCCCTTGCTGCCGAGCTGCACGAAGAATATTGGGGAATCTGACCCTAAACCCTAAACCCTAAGGCCCTCAACGCACCTTCATATTAACCCGTGAGGTGTCTAGGGGTTTCGGGTTTAGGGCTTTAGCACGTCCAGTTTCTTTAGGGTTTAGGGTTTAGGGTTTAGGGTTTAGGGTTTAGGGTTTTTAGAGTTGAGGGTTTTTTGAGAGTTTGAGGGCTTAGACAAGCCGGGCTTGGCGAGCTTGGCGTACCTGTCTCGAACGAGGGGGTTTTTACGACTCCAAGCTTTGCTGGCGACCCGAAACCCGAAACTCTTGACCGTAAGCCCGCAACCCTAAACCCCACATAAACCCTAAACCCTAAACCCTAAACCCCCCAATAACCCTAAACCATGAAACCCCCCCAAACCCAATACCCAAGACTCGTGTTTAGGCCTGGGAGATCTCGAGCGGCTTCCCGGTACTAGCTTCGCCTCTGTGGCCACAGGGCTTGCAAGGAGGATCGAGGGGTTTAGGCTTTTGGGTATTTTTGGGGTTTAGGGTTCAGGGTGTCGGGTTAATTAGGGTCTAGTGTTTGGGTTGTTTTTTGGGGTTTGGTTTTGGGTTTGGGATGCTTTGGATTTAGGGCGTAGGCGTTGCGCCCGTCTGGAGCATGGGTTCAGTGGTTCAGCTTGCGAGAAGGGTTTAAGGTTAGGTAGGGGTTCAGGGCGCATAGTCTCTCGCTGCTTCAGGATTCCCTTCAAACCCTAAGACCCGAAACCCCAAACTCTGCACCCCAAGACCCTAAACCCGAAAGCGGTCGGTGGCAAAATTTTGTCCTTGGCAGGCTTGATGGCTAAAGGTCCATGTACCTCACTACTACTATTTGCTAAAGAACCCCAAACAAATATAGAACAACAATCCCTATATTGCCCGATAAGGAAGAATGTTTTTATTTTTTGGGGGGCTCTTAAGCAAATAGTAGAATATATACTTGGGCCCCCAAAGTCCCTATGTAAGAGGCGCCATGGACCCTTAGAGAAGGTGGCTACAAGGTTTAGGGTCGGGTATAGTCTCGTTGTTTTTCCTTGGGGGGGGGGGGGGGGGGGGGGGTTGCTTTATTTACCAAAAACCCTGAAACCCGAAGCGGGTTTAGGGTTTAGGGTTTCAGGGTTTAGGGTTAGGGCTTGCGAGCGCGAGAGTTGATGCCGGGATGGGGCTCCCCTTTTTTTTTTTTTTTTTTGGGGGGGGGGGGGGGGGGTTCCGGTGTCTAGGGTTTATACACCCTAAACCCTAAAACCTAAACACCACAGTGGTCATTGAAAGGTATGCCAATGTCATCTACTTCGGCTCAGACCGCATGTATGCCGTCAAGGCCGATGGCACGCAGGACGCAATCGCCCTGTAGCTCACGGAGGTCCTACTGATAAGCCGCTCCCTCCCCCCCCCCCCCCCCCCCCCCCAGAAACTCCCAAACCCTAAACCCTAAACCCTAAACCCCAAACCCTGAACCCTAAACACTAAACCCTAAACCCTAAACCCCAAACCCTAAACCCTAAACCCTAAACCCTAGAAGAAAATCCCTGTGTGGGTTGTGAGTCTTCAAAAAGCCAACATAAGCATCGAGAGGCTTTAAGGCACGCGTGCATGGTAGATCTCGCTGTCCCCCTTTGCGTCCTCAAACTCCGTTCTTTTGTGTAGAGCCATGCTTTTTCGGCCTGACAACTGACAAGATGCGAAGAGCCCAAACGTTACATGATCCCTAACCGGTATTTACACGACGTCGTGCGGAAGGGATAATTCTTGTACCGAACCCACCCGGTCTGGACACCCGTGAGCGTCTGCACGGTGGGTGGGTGGTTTTGTGCTGGCAGCCTCTTTCTACTGGGTCGGAGATTAGGCTTCAAGCTTCAGAACGCAATCCTTGAACCCAAGCTGCGGGGTTGGGGGTTCGTCCCAGGAGTCTCAGATCAGCATGGTCATCCGAAACAATCCTAAACCGGAAGCCCTAGACTACACCTCCAGGTTTTGGTTAGAACGGGCTTTGTGGCTACTTCTCGCCTCCCTCCCCCAGTTGTCTTTAGGTTGTGTACCTCTTTTCGCTCTTGATGCTGGGAAACTTTGGTGCCCCCTAAGCCCTGAGCCCTAAGCCCTAAGCCCTAAACCCTAAACCCCTGAAAAAGGGAGCTGCCTTGCAAAACATATCCTGCCCACATGCTGGATGTCCTATGAGGCTCCTCGGATCTCTAGGAACCTGTGCTCCCAGAGAGTTTAGGGCTTAGAGTTTCGAGTGCCCACAAGAATGCCACTAGTGGTTGCTTGGGGTTTTGGGGGTTGAGCTCTGGCTGTCTCGCCCCGCCGCAGCCCAGATTCAAAGAAGCATGTTAAGGCAGGGCTTAGGGTGAAAAAGGGTCGGTAGGATCTACCTCATCCAAAAGCCCAGTTGCAAAGAAGAGTCCATAGGCTTTCTGGTTTGGGGTTTCGCAGAACCACTGTTTATCATTTGGGCACTCAGCTTACGCGGGGGTGTGGGAGACGCGGACGCGTCTGGAGAGCCGTTTGGTGCCCATGTCTGACATCCACCTGTCGAGGGTCTGCGGCTTTGCGTGGCGAAATGCTCCGAGGGTTTAGGGCTCAAAAGGGTTTATAGAAGTTTGAAAGGTAGAAGCCACACCCATGAATCTCAGAAGTGGCAAACCAGCAATTCCCTGACATGGTTCCCAGGTGATTGCATTCAACTGCAAAACAAAGCCTAAAGACCCTGCTGACACCAGCAGTTCTCAGTTGGCGTGGGCAGTCCCTCACGCCAATAAACTTTCCACGGCTTTCTTCACAGAGCCCCTTGCTTCGCAACATCAGGGATATTAAAGGTCTCGTGCTCTCAACTTTAGCAGAGATTAGCTACTCCGGAGAGGTAGGATGGTCTGTAGGATGCATCTTGATGATCTCCAAGCTGCTTTTTGGAGTCTGTGTAGATGAGGAGACCTTGGCAAGCCGACCTCGCCATCCTCCCCAGCCCCCATGGAGTATGCAGAAGCCCTGAACCCTCATAGTCATTCGGGACCCCATATAGCAAACAACCCCCCTAGACCTGATCTTTCAATCCCGCTATCGGGGAAGACCCTAGACCCTAAACCCTAAACCCTTAACCCTTATCCCTTATAAACCCTGAACCCTAAACCTAGACTCCCAAGGCGGGAGCTGCTTGAAGGAGTAAATCTGTTCCCAACCAGTTCAGCTAGGGCAACCCCTGAAGCCTAACTCCGGGTTAGGGTTTAGGGTTTAGGGTTTAGGGTTTAGGGTTTAGGGTTTAGGGTTTCGGCTCCTGAACCCTAATAACCTAAACCCTGAACTATGTACGGTGCGATGCTTTGGGATATTTCTCAATTATGAAACCTATTCATGAATATGTTTTCAAAGGTTCAAAGCACAACTCTAATCCCTAAACCCTAAACCCTAAACCCTAAACCCTAAACCCTAAACCCTAAACCCTGAGGGATTTTTCTGGGGCCAGAAGATCATGCCCAAGAATTTCTCACTGCCGGGCTGCCTCGAAGAGTGCAGATCCGGAGTCTGTCGCTGGACGTCGCCCTGAGATTCTGGGGGTGTAGGGTTTAGGGTTTAGGGTTTAGGGTTTAGGGTTTAGGGGTGCAGACGGCCGCATGGCTTCGCAGAGAAGTGGAAGTGACTCCTATACAGCTTGCGCTAGGAGTCCCGACCGTGGTGAATGCCCTAACCCTAAACCCTAAACCCTAAACCCTAAACCCTAAACCGGGTCTCCGAGGTGGCTCTGATGCTAACTTATGCTGCTTCTACGGCATCCTATAGCTGCAAAATGCACAGGGCGTAGCCCTAGACCCTAAACCCTAAACCCTAAACCCTAAACCCTAAACCCTAAACCTAAACCCTAAACCCTAAACCCTAAACCGTAACTGTACATGCCCTTTCCTTCGGCCCGAAACCGACCCTAAACTCTAAACCTTTTGGCACTTGGGGGAAATCGCCAGGGCGGGGGCCAGACCCCCCGAAGAGGTCCCTCACGAAGTGAGGGCCCTTGCGAAGCCCCACCCTTATTTTATGGTGTTAGGGTTGTTGGGGGTTCAGGCTTGTAGTGAGCATTGCGAGTTTAAATTTAAGTTCGGGTACTATGTTGACGGTTTCAGGATAAGCCGCTGTATGCTACTGAGCGTTTATTTCATTGTGGATCCGAGTGCAAGCGATCAAGTGCAGTCCTCGAATTCCGAGATGAATCCTACACCCCCCCCCCCCCCCCCCCCCCAAACCCTGGAACAATAAACCCTGGACCTGTGTGATGCTTTCCAGGCTGGATCCACTAACTTTGTCCGAGAGCCTGCTGAGTCGTAGTTGCGCTTCGGATTGTGGTACAAGGGGTCCTACTACCAGAAACGGCTTTTCAGATTGTTAGGGTTTGCAGTGTCTAGCCTGTAGTTATAGCCACTTTCTTATAACATCCCTCAACAAGACGTTGCGGTTTTTTTGCATGGTCGTTTGCTTTGGGTGACTTAGACGGGTTTAGGGTTTAGGGTTTAGACTGTTGCGCCACGTGAACCCGACGTCTAAGCAAAATGTGAACACCTACTACCATAAAGCTTCCTCCCCACCCAAGTGTGAGCCGCTGGGTTTAGGGTTTACGGCTTAGGGTTCCTTCGACCCTGTAACCCCGAACATTCCGCAGGCCTTGAAGCTCTCTTTCCGCAGTCGGTTGAGGGCTAGGGAACAGGATGGAACTTGACACTGATGTGGAAACATGGATCCCCGCGCTCAACTTTTATCAACTTCGCAAGACCTTACAGGCACTTTCCGAGGGAGAGCCTGGTGAAAAGAGGCAGCTTCTCTTCGCGAAGTCATCGGTTCTAGTCTCCCGAAAACACCCCTAGTAACCCGCACAAGAAAAGATAAGAGGCACATTTCTTTCCCAGGTGCCTGGGGATCCTTGTGTTGGTTTGGGGTTTGGGGTTTGTGTGTTTTGGTTTAGGGATAAGCCCAGTTGTGTAGTGTTCAGCATTGTCGGGTCATTCGGATCCCGGAACACATTGGCTGTGATCGGGGCCTAGGCCTCAAGAACCCCCCCAGCCTTGGGGTTTTTGTAGGCTGCTTACAAGAACCGTCTGGGAATCCCCACCAAGAAAAAGGGGCACAAGCACCACCTGCCAACAAGAAAAGCAGTTCTGCAAAAGCAGCCCCCCCCCCCCCCCCTAGACCCCCCCAAACCCCAGACCCGAAACCCCCCCAACCCCAACCCCGCCCAACCCGAACTGAAGGCCCGAGCCCATGTTGTTCAGACAAGGGATATGTGGGGTAGTGAACTTAGTCTGTAGAGTAGGTAACCTCTAACCTTTTTGGGGCATTTGATTCCCCTTATAATCCCAAACGTTAACCTTTGGTTACCCAAGGATACTGGACAAGTAAGTGAGGGGGTGGGAGGGAAACCCTAAACCCTCAACCCTAAACCCTAAACCCATGATGACAGGACGTCACCGGAGAAAGAGACAAGATGAGCTTCGAGAGCTTCTGCCGTGTGCCCAGCATGCTGGTGAGGCCGGTGTGTTCCTACAGCTACTACGTGCTTAATGAACCCCCCAAAAAACACAAGATTCTACGTATTCCTTACAAGGGCTGTATAGGGATGACTATTCTTAGTTTGTTTGGGGGAGTCTTTTTCTTTTTTTTTTGGGGGGGGGGGGTTCTTAAGCACATGGCAGATAGGGAGTGGATTAGGAGGTGCCCAATCTTCAGCAGCCAACAGGTAGTGAGGTTTGGGCATCGTAAGGCAAAATTCGGTAGGGTAGCTTCTACTATGGCACCAGTCGCCCTATCGCCCTATAGCCAACCTTCAGCCCTCCTTTCGTGTTCGGTCGAAAACCCCTCACAAACCCTGAATGTCCAAAGCTCTACAAGCTCTACTGGCCTAGAGCAGATCCTCCGACACCTCAACCTGTTGAGTCCTAGACGCCTTAAGGGCTTAGGCCCTCGTCCTGGGGGGTGGTTTAGGGTTTAGGGTTTAGGGTTTAGGGTTTAGGGCTCCAAGGTGTACACCACAAATCATGTCGACTGTGTGGTCTGGGCTAGGTGGCGTCCCGAAACATCAAACCCTAAAGCCTGAGATGGTGCAGAAGCCCTAAACCCTGAACCAAGGCAGCGTGAGAGGTGAGAGTCGAAATCATCAACCTTTCTACAAAAAAGGGGTGGGAATTACTAGTACTCCCTTATTACGGCCCCTATACTGCCCTTGGGTAAGCCCAGGCGACCTGTTGCGTTCGAACCGCGTGGACCTTTCCCGGTTCGGTCGTGGGACGGCTTCTTGGGCCTTTAGACGCCTTCGGTTTAGGGTTTAGGGTTTAGGGTTTAGGGTACGTCCGGATGCAAAAGGTTCTAGGGTTATAGGGTTGGTGCAAGGATGCTCAGTCGCCCTAAACCCTAACCCCCCCCCCCCCCCCAAAAAAAAAAAAAAAGGGAAAGTTGAGCAACCTACTTTGTTTGGTAGGTTACTACTACAACCCCGTACAGGATTCTTCAGGTAACTAACCTGCATAAATAGAAGTGGGCTTGCCATGAACCCTAAACTCTGAACTCTGAACCCGCAAGCTGCAACCGCCATCGCCCCAGCCTTCCTCGGACCCCAACATCTTTCAGAACCCTCTCATACAAAGCCTCCTCCCAAAAAGCAACTATCAACAAAGAAAAGGTTAGGGGTTAGAGTTTGGGGTTCAGGGCAGTCTGGCAGCATCATGCACATGTTGGGGTGGATGAAGTCACTGTATCCCCTCCTACGCCTCGGCTGCGTTTGTGCCCGAACAAATCAAGAAGAACAGGCAGTGGTATGGTGGCTTTAAATGGCAAACGTTGTCGTCTCCATCTCATGTTTTGCATCTGAGGGAATCGTGCGTGATCCAGAGTCCTCCGCGCAAAGGTGCCGGTGGCAGCCAGCGTCGTAGCACGCTCAATTCTACAAGCCTGATGCTTGACACATGGCACGCCACCAGGTGAGCCCGCTTCATTGCAACGCCACTGTTGGCATGCTGCTTGTCTGCCTTCCGTGCCACGCCTGTGGGCTCGGCCACGGCAACCCGTCCTTCGCCGTCTGCTTCTGCAACGTTTGCATCCATTCTGTCCGCGTCGCTTTCCGGTCCTGCCACGGCTATATGGCTCTCTTCACAGTCATCGCGGCAAAGCCTCAGGAGCACCAACGCAAGTTTCGATGATGACGCGTGTGTCTAAATGACTTGATGACTGGCCGCTGCGGCGACGTTGGAGCTGCGGTGGCGTTGACCGTGGCTTACTTCAGCATGAAGGAGGTACATGTGGTTGTGCTCTGTGCGTTCTTGCCCCCCTCCCCCCCCTCCCAGCCATGGTATCCCCCCCCAACCCATGGACATGGAGTACGGTCCCCCCCTCCCCTCCCAAACCCTAATCCCTAAATTCCTGAAACCGAAGGTTCCAGTTCTCTTCTCAGAGTCGGATGGAATGGATCCCACAGTCCCTAATTCGTAAACACAGCCATGGTTTCTGTTGGGACTTCGGACATGTGCTTTCATGGGTAGCTATAAGTGGGGTTGCAACTAGGGTGTTTTGCTGTATTTATGAGTGGTTATCACCTTATCTAGGGCACTTAGAATCCTACTTCTCACTACCCCGGAACCTGCATGAGGCTCACACGCTCAGACAGTTTTACGAGTCTGCCGTGATTGAGGACGCTTTTATGCCCCCAAGGGGGTGGGGGGAGGTTCTGTGCGGTTTTGGGGTTTATCGGGAATGCAGGTTCGGGGAGTATCATGTTGCGGCTCAGTTGGATTTGAATGCCTTGCAGCGGCTAGTGCAGCATTGGCGTGTGCTGCACATAGTGCATACGATGTCGTTTGCACAAAACTAACAGTTAATTGCTCATGTCAGATGAGTCTGCAATGGGTTAAGACATGCTCATGGACATTTCCAGCTTCACCATCAGTATGTTGTTGCATTGCATTTCTTCAAGAAGTTGCGGCTGCTTCCTGCTTTGCCGGCGCCTGGACGTTTGCAGTCGAAATGCCGAGCAGCCCGCAAATGCCCTAGACCCTACATCCTAAACCCTAAACCCTTCTGCGAGGGGTGAGAGTCGCTAGCGGAATCGAAGTGCTGTTCTTGTCCCCCCCAAAAAAAAGAACAAGAAGAAGAAGAAGAAGAAGAAGAAGAAGAAGAACAAAAGAAAGCGAGAGCACCCTGATTAGGAGAAGTGCTTCCTCAAAGTCGAAGACAACAGGCGGGGCCACTCTTCGGGCTTTGGGCTTAGTGAGGGGTTTGGGGTCTGGGGTTTTGAGGTTTAGGATTCGGGCCTTTCAAGAGTTTTCAAGGATGTTTCGGCGAGTAACCCTAAACCCTAAACCCTAAACCCCCTCTTAAACCCTAAACCCCAAACCCTGCAATTGTCCTTTTCCTCTCTGCAGAGGGAATCATGAAAGGGAAGCAGAAGGGCACCTCCAGTGGCTCGAGGCCTTGAAACCCTAAACCCTAAACCCTAAACCCTAAACCCTGGTTGCTTTGGTACTTCTACCTACCCATGAGGCCCAGCGCAGTCGACTCAGTCGACCTTTTCAAAGAGCTCTCTCAATCAGACGGCTCCTTCACGCGTAAACCGCCCGCCTTCAGGCCCTCGAACTCGAAACTTCAGCTTTCTCAAGTCAGCTCAAATGGCCTATAAGGGCTCCGAGGGAAGAGTCTTTTTGTCGCTCCGGTCCTCGCATCAATCCTCGCCCTCTCCCTCCCTCCCTGTCTGTGGTAGGGTTTGGGGTTTGGGGTTTAAAAGGTTTTGGGACCCTGCTGTGCATGTCACAATTTGTCCGAAAACCCATGGAGACACCCCTTCACACCCAACAAAACCATTGGGATCCCAGGTTACGAGAGAACTAGCTGAAAGACCCAAAACCGAAGCTTCAAAGTGGCTTGCGCGTTCTTGGCAGGGAATTGGCAGGGAATTGGGGGACTTGCGTACCAGACATCTTTGTTAAGGGACTGTCTTGGGGGTCGTAATTCCCTACTATGAACCTGCGAGACAAAAGTCGGCAGGCTGCAGCGGATGGTCGAGCTGGTGCGAATCAACCTCGTCTTCCGTGGCGACGATGTCCCGCACCCAGTCCATCGCTGTAGGGTGTGGGGACTACCCTAAACCCTAAACCCGAACCGCACCTTCACTCACCTTAAGCATGGTAAAGTCCTTGATCAAAGGGTATGGAGGTCTCTGGCCCCGCCTCCTCCTACGCGCTTGAAGTGGCCAGAACTTGAGGGGAGGGCTGCAGGGAGGCTTGTACGAAACCTGCAGAACTTTTTAGGCTGTAGGGGTGGGGTCTCTTGGGATTTGGGTCGGTTCTGTTCCGGGCTATGTGAGGGTGGTGGGCGTTGAGAATGGGATTTCGGGCCTCCGGGTTGTGGTGGCTGAGAAAACAAATTGCACTGCCTGAAGCCCTCGACCCTAAGACCTCCCTAAACCCTAAATCCTAAACCCTAAACCCTGAACCCCTACTTGTGTTTAGGGTACGAGGCCAGGCATCCCCAAGTATAAGAATGCTGCCGCAATGGAACTGAGTTGGAGTCCTGATGCCTTGCATCCTGCATAGCCGTTTTGAGCCTGTTGCAGGTCCCACCGAGCGATAGGCGGCGTCTTGCGTCTCCTTAGTTATCTCCACCAGGAAGCCGCCGAGGACTAACAGTATTCCCCTATGGTCCCTATATTTCCCTATATAAATATACCATAATAAACCCCCCAAACCCAATTGTAATCATGTAGGCCCCTGTGTGAGGCAACAGCAAAAGCCTCACCCACCTTGAGCCTGTCAACCGCTTGGCGCCCAGGGACACCAGCGCGAGCTGCGCATCATGTCAGAGGCGATTTGGGTTTAGGGTTTAGGGTTTAGGGTTTAGGGTTCAGGGTTCAGGGTTCAGGGTTTAGGGTTTAGGGTTCAGGGTTTAGGGTTTAGGGATACTTAGCGTAGCCCCAGCCCTGAGGCTTTAACAGAATGTCAAGTACCGCAAGAAAGCGGCGGGGGCCTATTATAGTTCAGTGAATTGGGGCCGGCAAAGTTCGGAAGGCTTCGGGCTCAGGTCATGGTTTGAAGCAGCTTCCAGGTTCAAGACAGGGTCCAAGGTTTTGGGGGGGGGGGGGGAGTGGTTTCGGGCCGGTGGGCTCCTGAGTCTTCTTGTAGACAACTCCCATTCCCACAGACCCCAAGGACATGTACCGAAGTCCAACATCTCGTAGCGCCTCGGGAACATCTAGAAGCCGGCCTTTGTGGCGTTGAGTGCCTGAAAGCAGAAGGACGGACAATAATGAGCTGAGAACCGCAACAGTACGTTGATACCGCTCGTGGACCCTCAAAGCCCTCGCCAGGTTATGGCCGGTGGCGGCATTCGCACTCGCAACCAGCCTCTTGCAGTTGGGCGCCCAGCAAGATCTGGGAAGGCCTTTGGGAGGCTTGACAGGTTGTGTTTGTTGTACGCCATTCGTTGAGGGTTCAGCTTCATCGACGGTGTTTGGAGCTGACAGATGGTTTCGTTCGGGGCTCAGCTCGCTCAAAAATCCTACATCGCGAGTCCGCACAAAGCTCTAGATCTTCGGATGTTCCAGGTGGCAGGCTCTCCTGATAAGGGGTTCTGTACAGGGGTCATTGCGGTCAGAGTCCACCACTGAACCCCCCGGAGCCCTGCAGCCATCGACAGCTCCTCACTGCCACGGCCGCTGCTATTGCTCTTACTGGCGTCCTCACCCTTTGTGCACCCTCCCCCGCCCCAAACCAAAACCAAAACGGCAAAGACAAGTGCCCAAACAAATTTTTCCACCCTTGTAAAGCCCCCAAAGCAACAAACGCCTCCTTTTTGGGCTGAAAATACCAAAAGCCCCTGTATTTGTGCTGGCACAAGCTCGATTTCCCGAAGCTGTGGCTCCCCCAAACCCTGAATTTCCTTTAAGATTCCTCAATCAAGGCTTGGGGTTCAGGGTTTAGGGTTTAGGGTTTACAGTTTAGGGTTTAGGTCAAAAACCCCCAAACCCTAAACCCTAAACCCTAAACCCTAAACCCTAAACCCTAAACCCTAAACCCTAAACCCTAAACCCAGTTCCTGGGTTACCCGGGCCTTAAGGGCTCCGCGAGAACGATGCGGCACCAAGGTGACGATGCGCAATGTTGAGAACGGAGATTGGCAGCGGGCAGCCGGGGCCTTGGGGTTTAGGGTTTAGAGTTTGGGGTTTAGGGTTTAGGGTTTAGGGTTTAATTAGGGTTTAGGGTTTAGGGTTTATTTAGGGTTTAGGGTTTAGGAACTTGCATCGTTTACTTGGGGGCTAAGGTACTTATTAGCCAGTCATCACTGCACCCATAACGGCCCTTAGCAGCCCCCTTAAGTGTGAAAAGTACAGTCGTAAGCACAAGTATAATTCGCTAATAAGTACGCTCAACCTCCAAGTAGGGGCGCCCCCCCCCCCCCCCCCGCTCCCCCCTAGTTATACCCTCCAGCAAGCTGTTCACTCGTGAAGCCGCACATGTCCTTTGAAACGGCATTGTTTGCAGTGTTTCGTGTGGGTGACATGCCGAAAGCATCGGTGGGCACAGTGTTTTCGGCACCTGCTGTTTCGCGCCTTTGTTACTTTGCTTCACGGTTTATGGTTTAGGGTTTTAGGGTTTTAGGGTTCAGGGTTTTAGGGTTTAAGGTTTAGGGGGGAAAACACGGATGCCGCTGCTGTAAAGATGGATGCGGCTGGACACACTTGGCCCGCACGATAATTCAAGGTGAGGTTTGCCTATTTTGGGTTTGCATCTTGAAAGAGGTTTAGGGTTTAGGGTTTAGGGTTCAGGGTTCAGGGTTTAGGGTTTAGGGTTTAGGGTTTAGGGTCGCAACTCCTAAAACCGAGGCCCATAATAAGCCCCCAAAACTCAGCCACGTCACACACTTCGGAAACACAGCCTCCGGCCACTGCCAGTTCCCCCTGGCCGAGGTTGAACGATGCTTCGCCACAAAGTTTGGCCTTAGCCTCTTGCCTTTGGAGGGCATCGAGTTCCACGATTCTAGGAGGGACCCAAATTTCCCAACATGCGCATTTCCGAAATCAGGAGTACCCTTTTAGAGATTCCTAGACAAAAGGATTGAAAACTTTTCTTGGGGGGGTACTTTTCTGGGAGAGAGCCACATAATCGTTATAGCCCTTAAGGAGATTTCGTCCCCTAATCGAGGGCTGCAGGACTCCCAAAATGCCGCTGGGGGGCCCAGACGTCATATTTGTCAGAGTGATGTTCCCTTTGTTAGCAAGACTACATAGCACGAGAGCAGGTTCAGGGTATAGGGTTTTACTTTGGACTTAGAGGGCCAGCGTAAACCCTAACACTTACACCTCAAGCCCGGATTTCATGTCGCTGTGTTCGTTTCTAGAGGTCTATGGCCCGAGGGTTTTGACATCCCCAAATTCCTCGCATCTTCGACTGCTAAACGCGAGTGAGGGCGCGTAACAATGGCCAGACCGACGAAGCCATCGTTTCTAGCCTGCTGACCCTCGACCCCAGTCTAAGCCTACTATTTGCTTAAGAACCCCAAAAGAATAAAACAATTATAATCCCTATAATACTGCCCTTTATATGGCAGTTTTTTTTTGGGGTTCTTAAGCAAAATAGTAGAAGCCTGTCAAGGATATCAGCCAAGAAATCCTTGCAAGCCCTGCGAAAGTCCTTGCAAGCCCTACAGAATCCTACGGGGAGGCGAGCATCCCTAAACCTAAACTCTACACCCTGAGCCCTAAACCTGTCCTGTGCGTGGTTTTGATGGGGTTTTGTCTCCTTGTTTGGTTTGGGATAATTGATGACGCCCTTGAGCCACCAACGACATCAGTCGGACTCGAAATCGTCCGGCGATGCGGATTCGCCCCAGCTGTGCAGAAGGGACCCTAAACCCTCAACCCTAAACCCTAGACCCCAAACCCCAAACCCTAAACCCTAAATAAACCTTCACCCCAAAGCCCGAAAGTGCCCAAAGCCCTCCGAGTCGAAAGAGAAGCCAGGCCCAACCGTCCAGAAAAGCTGCTTCAACATGGCCAAGGATGCCTACAACTACCAGGCCCATGCCGAGGGTAGGTTTAGGGTTTAGGTGATGGGGGTTAGGGGTTGGGGTTTTAGGGTTTTAGGGTTTAGGGTTTAGGGTTTAGGGTTTAGGGTTTAGGGTTTAGGGTTTAGGGTTTAGGGTAGGGCTTAGGCCTCTTTTGGGGGGGTTTCTCTCAAATTAGGGGCAGCTTGGATATTCTAAGGACCCCCTTCTGGGGCGGCTAGGCCATCATGCTTTTCGGGTTTAGGGTCACCCAGATGTGCCATTGAAGTCGTCTTATAAGCCCCTATATCATAGAAACCCCGCATCATATAACCCCATATAATATACTATGTAATATACACCCCTATATAAGAGAGACCCCTATATAATATAACCCCTATATAAGATAAACCTCTGTATAATATACACCCTCAACCAATAGGAGAACAGCGCGACATCGGAGTCGACCCCTGGCATCTTGACAAAGTACAAGACGCACAGCATCAAGATGACGGTGAAGGATCCGGGGTGTTGGGGGGTTAGGGTTTAGGGTTTAGGGTTTAGGGTTTAGGGTTTAGGGTTGAAGGTCCAGTGGCAAAAAAAGGGTTTAGGGGCGTTCGGGCTTGGGATGTTCCTCCTTCTACTGACAGTACTTGATAGGGATTGTAGTACCCCCCTTTATAATCCCTATTTAGGACTGTTAGTATAAGGTGGAACCGTAGAACATCCCAATGTTTAGGGCTTGGGGCGTAGCATTCGGGGCGGTTTGGGAAACCTCGGCTGGTTTGCGAGTCAGGATGTGGGATGCGGGCTTGATGGGCATGAGCATCCGATGGCGGCTCCCAGGGTCGGGGCTTCCTAACATTCCTGAAGGGGGTGCGGTTTAGGGTTTAAGGTTCAGGGCTTGTACGGCTTCGTGTTTAGGGTTTAGGGTTTAGGTTTAGGGCTTATCGGGCTTCGCATTTAGGGCTTGGGGTTAAGGGTTGAGGATTTGCCGCCTTGCTACCAACATCTCCAGGGCGCTGTGCTACTCATCGCGAGGGGCTCGGCCCACCCACCCCTTGCTGAGTGCACTTCTTCTGGCGCACCTTGCTTTTTATCCAGCCTCACATAGAACAAACACAGAAAGGGTGGCGTCAAAAGCCCCTTGCCCACTGAGAAGGTCGTGTTCTGCTCGGCATTTGTCGGCTTAGCCCTGAGCCACTCATGGACTTAGGGATTCTTGGATTTTTTTTTTTAAATTGGGGTACTGTAATTCCAAGAAGCAGCTAAAAGGTTGAACTTTTGTCAGCGTTCCAAGCTCAGTATCGTGGAAGGACCGAACTCGGCACGAGCTCCAGCAGATTGGTCTGCCGGACGGTGCGCCTTTTGTCACGAACGCTGAAGGCTCGGCTCAGTTGTTTTTTGTTTGTTTTTGTTGTTGTTTCTCATCTTTCCCTTCTACTTCTTTAGTGTATACATGTTTTTCTCTGTCTCTCTCTCTCTCTCTCTGTCTCTCTCTGTCTCTCGCTCCCCCCCTCTCTACGACTCTTGCAGTGGGACACAGAGATGCTGGAGCATTTGGAGGGCGTCGCGCCTTCGTGTCATACACCAGGCAGCAAGGGCTTCTTCTCCCTCCATTTTTGGGCAGGTGTGCAGCACTGGGTCTGGACTCGTGTTACCAACAACAAAGAAGAGGACCGACTGGCAGGGAGGTCGCGTGTTTCTGCTGTTGGCGCAGTGTCTGTCTCCTAAGCGGTCCTATACCCTAAGCCCTAAGCCCTAAGACTGACGCTGGATTTTGAGGGTTGTCGTGCATCTGAGCTTCTTAAAGTCGCCGAAGGGAATGTGTGGGAGTTTCTGGGAGCCCTTGTAAGCAGGTGCAGCCCATGTGCATCGGACCCATGTACATCCGGCCGTGTACACTGCCAGGCAACAAGCAGCATACACGAAGGTATTAGAGGGGTCGGAATATAAATACTAACAGCATTCCCTTGTGGTCCCTAACCAAACAAACCAAAAGCCAAAGACCTATTCTCATGAGTAAGCCCCCCCATACTAAGCCTTCCACGCAACGCACACCTGGTGCCACGAGATACGACTGGGGGTGGACAAATCTTGGGGGGAATGCCGACCCGGAGTCCCAAACCCCCAAACTCTAGAGCCCTAAACCCTAAACCCTAAACCCTAAACCCTAAACCCGAAACCGCACCAGGAGCTGATCAACAAGCTCCAGAAGTATGGCGTCTGCCTGGACGAATTTACGTGGCAGAGCTTCGTGGCGCCCCTGCTGCACAGGGTTTCTGCGACGTCCCCCCCCTCCTCCCCTCCCCGCTTTCCGGTTTCGGGTCTCAAGTTTAGAGTTCCCTAAACCCTAAACCCTAAGCCCTAAACCCGAAACCCTAAACCCTAAACCCTAAACCCTAAACCCTAAACCCTAAACCCTAAACCTAAACCCAGATTTGTTGCGTGTGAACCCTAACAACCAACCCTTTCTGTGACCAGGCTTCCCGCATTATCAGCCCACCCTTCAAGGCTTACAAGGATTCCCATAAGCCTAAACCCAAAACCCTATCAATACTAAGATGTTTCCATGTCAAGCTAGGAAATATCATGAACACTTTTTTTGCTATGAATGACATTACCATCATGACATATGCTTAATATATCTTAATATGTTATGTATGTTATTCATGCTCTGCTGCCAAGGAGCTGTACGACGAGGTCTACGAGAAGCAGCAGTCACAGCTGGAGCCCGTTGGGGACGAGCTTGTGAGGCCTTAGGGTTTAGGGTTTAGGGTTTAGGGTTTAATCCCAAGCCCTCAAAGGGGTTAAGGCGGTTAGGGTTGCAACCCTCAAGGAAGACTTTCAGGGCTGAGGGATGTTTAGGGTTTAGACCCGGGGACTCTAGCTGGGTCCCTTAAGGTGGTACCCTTTGGGTCTGGGGACGCTTGTAGTCGGAGTTGAGTTCAGCAAGGCTATTGGAGGAGGGATGAGCTCTGAAAGACGAAGGCCCCCGCCGCTCCCCCGTCCCTCCGTTAGGGTTTAGGGTTTAGGCTTTGGCTTTAGGGTTTAGGGTTTATAAGGGTTTAGGGTTTAGGGCCGGATTCCATGAGTTCTGGGTTTAGTAGCTCCGCGAGCCGGTTGCCTGGCAAAAGAGTATAAGGCTCCAGGCCTGCGAGTCCTTTCCTGTTATTTAGGGGGGCCACACCTCACCGCTCTTAGCCTACGACGGCGTTCAGAAGTTCCGGCGTGCTTGAGTGCTTCTGTAATATTACTAGTATATAGCATATAGTTCATATACACACACCCTATATATATATATATATTTATATTTATATTTATATTTATATTTATTTATTTTATTGTTTTTATTTATGTATGTATATACATATACATATATTTATATATATATATGTATATATCCCTCGCATAAGCCCTAAACCCCTGCACACGAAACCTGGAGGTATGTCCGCATCGTAAAGATTTGGCTGTGGGCCAATGTGCTGCCTCCTGGCGCGGCAATGGACGAGTGATGTTTGTCAGGCTAGAAATTTCGGCAAAGCTTGGACCAAAGACCCACAGCTTGGTTGGAGGTTCATGAGTGCTTTTTCAAGTGGAGTTATAAGTAGCCCGGCTGTGCTTATAAACCGCATGCTTGCGGCACATTTAACCGTACATAAACTTTAAAAATGAACATCCCAGGTTTGTAGCAAGGTGTTGGGTCGAGCTGGAGTGCGTGGGCGGGCCCAGAGTGCTTGGGCACACGTAGGCTTGTAGCAGAGGGAATCAAGGGTCGCCTGCCTTGGTCCCCGACTCAGGGTGGGACCCTAAAACCTAAACTCTAAACGCCCTAAACCCTGAACCCTAAACCCTAAACCTTCAGTGCCCTCCTTACCTTTCCCCCCAAAAAGGGTCAAGGGTTGCCCCTCATCCTTGTAGTTCAGAGTCAGAGTTGAGGGAATCACTGGGTCTTGATTCTGGGTATACAAGCGACTGAGGAACTGTCGGCATACGCTGGTGCTGAGGACGCCTGCAGCGAACACCTGATCGTGATCCCCAAACCCCGAAGGCCTCAAAAGCCTACCAACCGGAATCCCGAACCACGTTCCTCACCCCTACTAAGCCCCCCCCTACCGCATCATCTTGATAGCACAACCCCCCTTAGTCCCCTAAACCCTAAACCCTAAACATTAAACCCTAAACCCCCCTTAATCCCTTGAGCTTCCAGGGTCCGACAAGCGGTAAACCTTCAAACTTGGGGCGCACCACCCTCCCTCTGGGAGCTCCTGGGTTTAGGGTTTAGGGTTTAGGGTTTAGTGTAGAACACCTACAAGGAGTTCTAAGCCTACTGTAGCTCTTGGTAGCCCGGTGATACCCTTTCCCCTTTTTTTGGTTCAAGGTTTCCCACATGAAGTACATAACTACCCTTATAACATGGTTCTCCGGACCTGGGTACACTGTAAGCCCACAGGACGAAGCAGCAGCACTCGCGCACCCACGTATTGACTTCACCGCGCGTGTTGTCGATGAGGATGGCAGAGGACTCTCGGCTTCAGTTTCTGTCCTCCTCCCCCCAACACAAAGGCCGAAAGCCGTCGGAACCCTAAACCCTAAACCCTGAACCCTAAACCCTAAACCCCAGGTTTGGGGGCATTTTCCATTGCTGAATCGGCTTTGATGTCTTCGGCCTCTAAGGGTACCGTAAGACTCCCTACAGCTCTGGCTTTAGGACCAGACATGGCAAGAAGCCGTGGTAGAAGCTCTCACCGGGCGCCTGGGCATCAACGAGGTGCGCCCGTACATCGATTAGGGCATATCAGTATTTGTTCTACTCGTTGTTATTCGTGTTTTCCTGCATGTGTGTTTTAAGATACCGTCATTATAGTTGTCATTATCGTCGTTGCTATTATGTTTTTGTTCGTGTCTTGCTACGCGAATATTTCTTACTACTGTTCTTGTTGGCTTGGGCTTCGTGCCGGGGGGTGTAGCGTTGGGCTTCAAAGGGCTTCGGGAACGTGAGAAATTCTATCGTTTTGGCATGTGGTGTATGAACCAGTATCCAGACCAGATAGCCCGTTTCGATTTTGGGATGGGGGGAACCCTAAGCTCCACGCCTAGGGGTGAAGGAGGGTACTCGTACTTTCACGCAGTGGGCCCCTTTGGGATCGGCATCGTCCTCGAGCCTCTACGCCTTGAGCTTCTCAGCCTTTTCGCCTAAACCCCCCAAGGTCTAGGACCGTACACCTAGACTATGACTCGTCGTATGATGTGGGGGAGCCTTTCAGTTCAGACCTACTATCACAGACTATCAGGGCTTCAGTGCCAGCTTCAACACTCGGACGTTTATGGGGGCTTTAGGATCTCTGGGCTTCGGAGGCACGTTGGAGAATTCTGGGCGTGTCCGTTCAGACAGCTCTACGAGTCCTCCGAGCTTCTAGCCCCAAGCTCAATTTTTTAGACGACGTATAAGCCCGCAGCCCAAACCCTTCAAGCCCCAGGCCCTCTGAACCTCACCCCCCCTTGTGTCTAGGCCCCATGTCCAGTGGGCAATTTCCCCCATATACCCGTCTGAGATAAAATAGAACCTCACCTGGGAACTCCATCCCTGAAATTGCAGGCTCTAAACCTTCAACCCTACACCCTAAACCCTAAACCCTAAACCCTAGACCCTAGACCCTAAACCCTAAACCCTAAACCCTAAACCCTAAACCCCAAACCCCAAACCCCAAACCCCAAACCCTAGCTGCCACGTGCCGTTGCAGGCTCTGCAGCGCTCGGGCCTGCATGTCAGCGAGGCAGGGCCGGGAACCATCCCGGCGGGCTTTGGGGTTTTACCTTTTGGGGTTTAGGGTTTGGGGTTTGGGGTTTGGGGTTTAGGGTTTAGGGTTTAGGGTTTAGGGTTTGGGGTTTGGGGTTTGGGGTTTGGGGTTTGGGGTTTGGGGTTTAGGGTTTGGCATGAAGCAGCCTCCAGGTTCCAAAGGGTTTAGACTCGTTTTGTTCATACTTGTGGCGGGTTTGGGCAGAGTCTTTCGGGTGTGAGGTTTTGGGTGCGCTTCTGCTAGACAAGGCGTCTTACACTTAGGGGCGCTTAGAAGGGACCATGAGTTGGAGATCTGGCAGGGTTTAGGGTTTAGGGTTTAGGGTTTAGGGTTTAGAGTTTAGGGTTTAGGGGTTTTAGGATTTCTGGCATGGCTGTTGGGGATCAACGAGTTGGGTTTCGGCTCAAGATTTCAGGGTTGGGTTCTGAGAGTTAGCTGGGTGACTCGGACGGGTCCGCCCCTTGAGGGTTGACAAAAAGGCATAGTTTCGAGAAACTTAGAGGCAGGGCTAGCAATTCAAAAGGGCTAGGTTTTAGGATTGGGTTTCGCTATCTAGCAATGCGCCAGTGGAGGGTTTCGGGGTCCTCATGTTAAGGGTACCATAAGTAGGACCCACAAATAGATGGACCCTAATTTTCGAGAGCTGCCCATAACGCCCAGGCTGCCTTCCGCCAAGAGGTGGAGTTCTCGCCCAGCTTTCCGGGCTTGAAAACGCCGCCAACCATGCAAGAGCTACGTTGAGGTTCATGGGTACTGAATCACCCCGGGTTGAGGGTTCGGGGAATGATAGCTGTACTTCTAAGCCCTCTGAGTCCTCTCAAGAAAAGCTGTACTTTCCAGCCCCCCCTCAGTTCTCCGAGTCGGTTCTCAGTAGACTTGTAATTGGGGGTTAGAAGTACCCCATGAACTCCAAGTAGGGGCGCTAGAAGTGCCATGGTTTCAGGGTTTAGGGTTCAGGGCCTTAGGTTTGTTTGTGAAACCCGCGACGTGAAAACCACCCGAACCCCATGACCGGCTTGGGTTTAGGGCTTCGGGTTCAGGGCTGAGGGCTTAGGGCTTAGGGCTTAGGGTTTAGGGTTTACAAAAGGAAAGGCTTTGAGAGAGTCCTTGCCTCGGCCTGGATCCATGGGCGTTCCCAGGCACTACGGAATCAACGAAGTGCACGTAGAGGTGCTGAACCCTCAGGACGCTTGGAGGATTTTCCTGACCATCCTAAACCCTATGCGGTTTCCGGTTCAGGGCTTGGCGTCACATGCGAGTCGAGCTTTCAGGGAGCAGCACAGAATCCGGTGGCTTCTAGAAGTCCAACCCCGCGACTTCTGCTGCTGCCCTACTGCTGGTTGAGTCACACCAGCTAGTGAACCCGAACCATATAAGAAGCCTAAGCCCGATAATTATGCTATTCGCCTACCCATGGATAGAAGTTGCCAAAAGCTCAGTTCAGTTCCCTGATGAGGTGGGGCTTTTGGTTTAGCGCAAGACCTGACGGGACCCGAACCAGATGTTCCGACAACCCCCAACCCCAAAGCCCTCGCTAAATCCTAAACCCTGCAGCTCACTACTACTAGCTTAAGAACCAACCATACTTTTGTTTTTTGGGATGCTCTTAAGCAAGTGGTAGCTCAGGATCAGAGGTGGAACTACCTAAACCCTAAACCCGCCCTAAACCCTAAACCCTAAACCCTAAACCCTAAACCCTAAACCCTAAACCCTAAACCCTAAACCCTAAACCCTAAACCCTAAACCCTAAACCCTAAACCTTAAACCCCAACCCCCTTTCTGAAGCTCAGGATCAGAGGTGGAACAGCATTGGGCTCCCGGCCGGTGTGGAGTTCACCTTTGTGCGGCAGGCAGCAAGTGCACCTCCGGGGACGAGGGTCCCAATATGAGGGTACCGAGTTGTGGTTTAGGGTTTAGGGTTTAGGGTTTAGGGTTTAGGGCTCAGGGCTTAGGGTTTCGGGAATAGGGGTCATAACATAAGGACGTTACTGGCAACATTTTGGCCTCTTCTTGGCTCCTTCGTGGAGTACACACAACAGGGTTGAGGCGTGCGCAACTCCCGATTTTGAGTTCACATCCATCCAGGTTATTAAAAACGCGTTGTTCGAAGCATCCTTGGTTGTAGGCTGCTGTAACTATCCACCATGGACGAAGTTTTCCTGTGCTTTCAACAAACAGAAAAATGTTATATAAATAAATTAAAATTAAAAAAGATATAAAAAACAAATAAATGAGTATACATAAATACATATAAAAATGAGCGAATAGATAAATAAATAAATATGTAAATATAAATATAAATAAATATAAATAAATATGTGTGTATATATATATATTAACATATATAAACTACAGACGTGATGCTGGAGCACCGGGCCAGAGCATCAGCTGTGGCAAGCGGAGTGCAAGCCGGGCCTTTCCAAAGTGTTTTGGGCTTACGCAGGTTTTTGAAGGTTTAGGGTTTAGGGTTTAGGGTTTTGGCTCAAGGTTTCGGCTTAAATCCCGTTTGTGAGTCGTGAATGCATCGTACTGTGGGGTCATGAGCGAGCTCCCCGGGCAAGTGATTTCCCCCAAGAAGCGGGAGCACGATGAACTGAGCCTTAGAGATGATTCCTCGGAAGATCCTGACCGTGAGCTCGATCGGAGGCTGGCAGCACATGATAAGAAGGATGGTGATGAGCTCGCCCCCCAATGGGCTTTGAGGTTGGAATCTACGATTACCTCCCAGCTAGCCAATGTGCATGAATCATTGGGATGCTTTCACACACGCCTGAACAACCTTGAGAATCGGCCTGCTACGGATGCAAGAGTCGATGGCTTGCTTGTGCAGGTTGCCTCCTTGGTTGAACGAATGGATAAAGCTGAAGCACAGAGTGTCAGACCTGAAGCACAGAGTGTAAGGCCTCCCCCTGCCTTCCCGACGCCGAATGTGTTTGGTGGAACCTCCCAGCGGCGCAACCAGGATCCGGAGTTTGATTTTGCCCATATCATTTGTGGAGGTTGGCCAGTGGACAGCCGCAAAGGGTTGGTGGAAGAGGACACCAGAAGCTTCGTACGACTATGGGCGCCTGAAATGGCAGCATGTGTTGCAAGAGTGGTCGTTTATGGTCGTCGTGCCCACGTCAGTCACATCTACCTTGCATCAGCTGGCTATGAGGAAGACCGCCGTAGATACTATGCTTTGCAAGATAGATTTCCAGAGGGTTGGACGAATGCTAAGGGAGAGAAGATGTGGATGTCATATTCCAAATCCCAGGCCCGAAGGGAGCGAAACAAAGCGACCAGGGCTGCCCTAGTCAAGTTGGAGACTGCTTGCTCGAGGAAGCCAGGAGCGAAGGAAGGCCTTGAGACGGATTGGGGCAAGCAGCTCATGTGGCTTGATGAGAAGCGGGTATGTTCCACGTCCCGTGCAGAACTCCTCCCAGATCCCCAGGATAGCCTCCTTGAAGTGCAGATGAACATCGTGGAGGGTGCAATGCCAGTCACTTTCCACTTCCACATAGCCCGACTTGCTGTGGGCTTAGGCTGTCAGGAAGCTGATGTCATCTCAGATCTCCAGGGACGGCGGGTTGATCAGATCTGATGCTCGCCTCCCACTTCTGCTGACGTGTTTCTACAAACTGAATTCATGACATGGAATGTACAGGGCAAGTCTTTGAAGTATTTTGGGGAATGGCTGGAGGAGAGTAGCTGTTGTGCTGACATTGTTTGCTTGCAGGAGGTTAGTGGCGGGGGAGGTGAGTTACAGATCTCGAGCAGCGATAGTGGATGCTTGCAGCGCTTTCAGTTGACCAGCGGATATCCCAACGAATTAGATGAGTTTACAGTTTTGGGTGACTGGGTTGAGTCTCATTTGGCACAGATGATACTGCTACGCAACGACTCCGTTAACCATCTGGTCGACAGTGCCAAGGGGAAACGTTTCATAGCAGTGGAGTTTGCATTGAAGGACCCACCCCACAACCTACTTGTATGCTCAGTGCATTTACACCACAGCAATGCCACGAACTCAGATTTTGAGGCCGGCCTCGAAGACCTAATGTCGTTCTTGAAGTTGCACCGTGGTACCCCTACAGTGGTACTTGGAGACTTCAATGCAGATATTAATTCGCCAAGGTCTTTCCTTTGTGATTGTGCCTTTCGTGAACTTTCATTCCAACCGAGCAGACCAGATCTTCCTACACGATACGGTACGTCCAGCAGCAGTCATCTGGACTTTTCTTACTCCAACTACCGGTTCCGATGCATAGCTTCGGCTGAACCTGGAGCCCTGACTATCTCTGTGAATGCCCAGGAGAGGCATGCACTGGGATCAGACCATGCCCCCGTGTCTCTTGACGTCATTTGGCCCTTGCCCCGTAAGCGCAGGAGGCGTAAAGGACCCCACAAGAAGTGTAGACGATACTGCATCGACAAGCCCCAGTTGCAGCGCCTTACTGAGATGAGTCAAGCCACAGGGGTATTTGATTTCTCCGACATGTGTGTTTCAAAACAATGGGAAGCCTTGTCCTCGATGGCCTCGCTGTGCTCCTTTGGGGTTCCCTCGTACAAATATCGTGACTCTGATGCCTTAAAGCGCCTATGCCAAGAACGACATCTTGTCACGAACCCAGAGGCCCGAGCCAAGTGCACCCGACAAATCCTTGGTCAGAGATTGCTGGAGCGGCGCGCTTGGTGGAGTGAGCTTGAACGCAGGGCTGCACAAGGAGACCCGGGAGCCATACGGTACATTAGGCAGCGTAGCACTCCTAAACCGGACCATGGTCATCTTCACTCACTGCTAGGTGGTCAAGCAGCGACAGCGTTACAAATGGAGCAAAATATGACTCAACAATTTTCTGTCTCGGGGAGTGATGCCGAATCGAACGCCGCGCAACAGACCATTGATAGTTTGATTGCCAGAGGATCCCTTGTTCTGTTCACGGAAGCCGAAATCTTACGAGCAGTGGACAAAATTAAGGTTGGCAAGTGTAGTGGGATGTCAGGAGTTTCCGGCGACTTTATCAAAGCTCTCGCTTCGATCCCTGAGGGATTACGTTTGCTCAAGCACCACTTGGACCTTCTACTGCAACAAGGCGAACTTCCCGAAGCCTACTACGATGCCTTTGTGCTACTCCTTCCGAAGGTCCCCGTGCCCCAGACCTTGAAAGATCTTCGTCCAATAAACCTGATCGAGAGTACCGTGAAGTTGTACTGCTCACTGTTGTGTGGACGCCTCAGATTGCAGTGGAAGCAGCCGGAATTGCAGTACGGTGGCCTCCCAGGAACCCAAGTTCTCGAGGCCATGTTCTTGGCGCACATGGGGGTAAGGCATCAAAAGAAATGTAGACAACCCGCTGTGTGGTTTTTGGCGGATATAAGCAGTGCGTTTGACAGTGTTGATCACGGGTTCCTGGCGACCTTCCTGAACCGCTATTCCAATGACCAATGCTCATGGGAAGCGGGTCGGCTACTGCATGTACTAACCAATGCGAGGCTGCATTTCGACTATTGTGGTCGAGCTTGGGTGCTTCGACAGCAGACTGGTGTGCAGCAGGGTGGTTCACATAGTTGTTATGTCTTTGCGACTATTGTTGGAAACATCCTGGACACCTTACATGCAAAATGGCAGTCAGAGGGAATTTCATGTTGCGCTTTCTTGTATACTTGGGGCTTCGTCGACGATATTATTATGTGTTGTGCAAGTTGGGCTGATGCGCATCAATGTAGCGAGGATCTTCGCCAAGCTTTGGCTACTGCAGGTTTAAGGCTGAACACGGCCAAGTGTAAGTTCCTGACGCACCCCAGCATGTTACAGCAGCCCCGCGAAGAATTTCCTGAAGCCTCCCTGGCTCGGGTGTGTCCTTGGGACACTCGTGCCACTTACCTACGCAAGCAGTTGTCGTATGAATCTGAAGTCGTAGAGGGCGAGAACCTCATGAAGTCTGTGGTTCAGTTGGCAAACTCAGGTTACGCGTGCCATAGTACCATACTCAAGCTTCACCATTGGATTTCCCCAGTCCAAGCATTGCGCTATATACAGAAATACATCTTTTCAAAGTTCGCTTGGTTTTTGCCGCTGTTGCCGGTGAGACGAGACCATGTTCAGACGCTGCGTGTTCTGCAGGTCACGCTACTTACGAAGACCCTACACTTGTATTTGCCGGGTGAATATCGTGCAGGTCCTGCCATGTGCCTGCAAAGGCTCAGACGTCGTGCAGCATATGCGTTCTTGTCGCAGCATGCCGATTGCTCGTGGATCAGGTGTTGGTATCAGCGACGCTTTACCTTTTTAGGCCACCTGTTGCGTAAAGGTCCAAGTCATCCACTGTGTCGCATGTTGCTGCAATCCACGACCGCCCCGCTTGGTGGAAAGCCTGGCCCGTGGGCGAGCCCCATGCAGTGGCTACAGCACATCTTAGCTCCAAGTTTCCCTGGGTTGACGTTGGATGGCATGTTTGCTCTTGCTAATGACAGACCTAAATGGAAGGAGCTTGCTTTGCAGATCTCTGGAGATGAGCTAGATGTTGCACACATTGTGAGTGCCACCACCTGGGAGAGCCCTAGAAGATGCTTGCAGCATACAGTCGATTGGAGCGCTGTGCTTCATGTGTGGCAGTCAGCCCAGGGTGGCTACGAATTTGCTTGGTTGGATGTGCAAGAGGGCTGGTATATGTACCGTGTCTCTGAGTTCACGCTTACTCATGTGCAGGACTTCCTTAGCCGATTCCTCATGTTGTATAGGCCTTTCACAATTCAACTCTTGTTGTCGCATGACTTGTATGATGCCTTAGTTTCGCAGTGTATCCCTCTTCACCATTCGATGTACACGACTTTTCGAATAGTCCTTCTGTTCGAAGTGGTGCCAGAATCTTGGTTGACGACGGTTCGACGGTTAGCAATGCCAAGAGAGCATGCGCGCGTCTGAGCTGGTCCTCGTCGACAAGGTTTGATGCTCCTCTTAAGGAGGCTCCGCGTCTTGGCATGCATGTGCGCTCCTCAGACTGGCTAGTCCCCCAGCCCAGTTGCAAAAGGGTTTAGGGTTTATAACGTTTAGAGTTTAGGGCTTCGGGGTTTTGAGGGTTCTGCGTTTCTGGTTCATAAAGCACCTGAGGCGGGCATGTGTGTGGGCCCGGAAGTGCATCAATGGGTCCGTAAACCCCAAAACCAAAAGCCCCGCAGCCCAAACTGTCAACCCGCCAAAAAGCTGAAACCCAACTTCAGGACGGCCATGCGTGGCATGCAAGCCTTATGTAAAAAGGGCTTGGAGGCAAGCAAAAAAAAACTAAGCCACAACTCAAGTCCGCACCCTAAGACCGCAGCCTTGGGCACAGGAAAGTCGCGGAGGAGAGACCGACACCATCGTGAGCAGGCCACTCCAACTGTGAACACTTGATGATACCCCGAGAAGTCTAGCCCATAAGGGCCCCTAAAATCCAGAACCGCTAGAACCCGCTTGACAGAAAGCAAAGCAAAGAATAGCAGCCCTCAGGAAATGTCGGATTCAGGGTTTGGGGTTCAGACCTGGTCTTTTTGCCTTGGTTATGAAGGCCGAAAAATATCCTGCGGAAGAGCACAGGTCCAAATGGGGCCCTTTGCATCTGTGTTGAGAGGGGGCATATAAGTGTACCGAAAATGTAACGGTTCTTGTAAATAGCTCTACATGAATGAATACACACACCCACAATTAAATAAACAGATAAATCAATATACAAATAAATGTTTTTGTGTATATGTATTTATATATATATATGTATAGTAATATATGTTAGACCGCCTAAAAACTTACATATACATGCATGCATGTAGCTGCTAGCTGCTAGTTGTGCGGCAGTCCCACTGCAGGTGGGGGTGGACCAACTCCCACGAGCTGGATGCCGAGCATGCGTTCGTCAAGTGCCTCGCCCAAATCGGTTTAGGGTTTAGGGTTTAGGGTTTAGGGTTTAGGGTTTAGGGTTTAGGGCTTATACACAAGAAGGCCCTGCTTTCAGGTGTTGCCGGCAGCCTCAGTCCGTGCTAAAAGGGCTTATACACTCAGAAACTTCACGCCCAAGGTGTTCAACATGGTTGCTTACCCTAAACCCTAAACCCTAAACCTTGTTCTCCGAGTCCTCAACCCTTTGGGATGCCCAGTAGACTAGGACCCGGAGTAGGCCCTCATTTCCTTTTTTAGGGGGTTTCCCTTATACTCCCCTTAAAACCAAAAGGGTACCCTTGTTATTCCTGGGTGACTCCTGGGTCTAGTAGAAGCCTTGGTCTCAGGTGTTTAGGACCCACCTTACCTCCACACCCCAACAAGCCGCCCCCAGAAAATCGGCAAAACAGGGGGGGGGGGGGGGGGGCGCTCTTGATCTCTTTTGGCTGCTGAAAGCACCCCCCCCCCCCCCCCCCCCTCCTCAGCGCAGCCACAGCGTTAGTTGCAACCCTAAACCCTAAACCCGAAACCCTAAACCCCGAACCCTAAACCCTAAACCCTAAACCCTAAATCCTAAACCCTAAACCCTAAACCCTAAACCCGAAACCCTAGCCTTCCAGAGCCCTCCATCCCGATCCCGGCACCAAGCCCTTTGCATCCTCAGGTCCCGGGGGATTCCAAAACAATCCCAAAGCCGTTTAGGTTTCAGGGTTTAGGGTTCAGGGTTCAGGGTTTAGGGTTTTGGGTTTAGGGTTCAGGGTTCAGGGTTCAGGGTTCAGGGTTCAGGGTTTAGGGTTTAGGGTTTATAGGGTTTAGGGTAGCCTCAGGGTTACAGAAGGGTTTAGGCTTCAGCAACCTTCCAGCAGACAAGGCGAAAGTCGTTGTTCCCCTCCTGGAAAGACAGCATGAAGAGGCGGAAGCAGCTGTGCCAGAAGCAGACTTGGGCAAATTTTGCGAGGAATCCAAGGTGGAGAATTGCAGTCCACAAAAGCACACAGAGACCCTTAGTTTGGTGCTGTAGATTGTAGACTCCAACATTTTCCGAATGGGGCTTTCGGCTTTGGGTTTGTAGTCGGCAACCTTCTTTGCCCATTCACGAGGCTCCCTTTCTGGAAGGGTAGATAACCTTTAACCTTTTTGGTTATATGTAATCCTATTACAAATTAAAACGGCAAACCTGTTATCCTTTTTGAAGCTAGGGTAGTCAGGGCCTGGGTTCCCCAGGGTTCATCTTTTCTTGGCCCAGCACACGGCCGGAAAAGGTTGCCGGCAACTAGTACAGGAGCGATAGTATTTGTCTCCTCCTGTCACCCCTATTTAGGCAGACGCGAAGATACCCGTTCAAAGGTTTCCACGGCACACGCACACACACACACACACATGAAATACCGCATGAATCGGGTTCGACCTTTTGGGCATACGAGGGGAAGATGACAGCCCGAGGACGACTGGAGATTTCTTGTGGGGTTCCCTAAGGCCTATACACCCCCTTGGGGGTGTTGTCGGGTGGGCTGAGGGCCTTTAAGCCCCGAGCTTTCATTCTGAATCCTGGGCTGTCAGGGTGCAGGGTTTCTATACTATGGAAACCCTGCACCCTAAACCCGAGGGACGAGCAGCAGGGTCTACTGGTTGGTTCAGGCCTCCATAGCCTGTTGGGTCATGTTCGTTTTTTTTGTGTCTCTTTTTGTTGGCTGGAGGCTTCCTGCAAGACTTAAGAACCCCATACAGGGTTGAGGGTCTCGGGGCCAGCAGCGCTTAGGCACAAGAGCATACAGGAGCAGGACAAGCAGGCGCCATGGCAGAATCCTTCGGACCCTAACCTTCTTCAGACCCATCCGCCGGGTTTGTACAAGGACTCGCCGTGGGAGGGTCGGGAGGGGGGGAGTAGGATGTCTCATCGGACCGCATCTGTGGAGCTGTGTGATAGGGACGTCTCTTGTAACAGGGCGTCCCGCACAAATACATAGACACATATGTATATACACACTTGTTTCTTTATTTGCATTTGCTTATTTACTAGTTGTGTTGGTCTCGTTGTCGGCTGCTCCTGACAAGTGGTTGCGAGCTGACATGGCGTTATACACTTGTTCGTATGATATGGTGAGTGGAGCGATGGTGCTATCGCATCACCGTCTCAGGCATTCGCATAGCGTGGGTTTAACGGATGCATCTTTGTGGTTGCATATATATATATATATGAAGAGTTTTTCTGCATATCTATATGTACATATTTTTCGTGGTTTATGATAACGGTTTATGTATGTTATACACTTATACAATCTTATGCATATACCAACAGATATGTTTACGAATGTATATATGTATGGATGGCCACGGGATGGAGCTGCCCTAACGTAAAGGAGGATCGACAGCTCAGGTGGAAATTCCGGAGCCCCTTGAGATCCGCGGCACTCACGTGGCGCGGCTGTTTCTTCGGGCTTCGGGTTTAGGGTTTCGAGTCTCAGATCAAAGGGTCTCATTGGGCCCGAAAATCCCCAGAAGCCCTATAAAGGGCCGTTTTAAGGGGGGTAGGGGTAGCTGCAGCTCAGTTGGTGAAGTTCCAGCTGTTCAGGGTTGAAGGCTTAGCGTTTGCCAGCTTCTGGCTGTTTGGGAATTTTCGTGGGATGGGTCAGAGCGGAGCTTTTGCTTTGAGGACCGGTGCTGAGTGGGTGCAACCTCAGTGTACGAAAGCGACTGAACATCGCCAGGTGAGCAATTTCAGCTCTTGGGCTTAGGGTCTAAGGTTTGGGGGTGTGGCAGGGTTCACCAAAATCCAAAGTCAAGAACCTTGGAAGACAGCTTACAGCCCGTGAGCCTTCCCACTGAACCCCAAACGCCAAGGAGTTGGTGATAGCCCGGATCATGGAAGGAAAGACGACAGATTGGGCGCGGGCGAAACGGGCCGCCGAGCAAATCCGGCGCCTCGGCAATGAAGTAGGGTTTAGGGTTTTGGGTTAGCCAGGGCCTTTGCGTGTCGTTTATTTCACCCCATGCGTTTAAGGGGGTTTCTGGTTCGGAGAAATTTTGCAGAGGGTTTAGGCCCCCCTCTTCTACCCCCCCCCCCCCCGCCCTGAACTTCTCAATGGCCATCCTGTGACCGTCAGGAGCCCCAGCTACACCACGCGGGAGTTCCACGACGCTGGCCTGAGAACTTGCCTTCCCGCCCCTAAATTTTCCAGGTCTTCGCCCCAAACTCTCAATACTGTGCCTCTAGATTCTCCTCAACCCTGAGTGAGGGTCCTCAAGGCTGCGACTTACTGTAGCTGTGATTGGGTAGGGCGAGGACACCCATGCAACAAAACTGCTCGGGCATGAGAGGTTTCTTCGCTCCCCATGCTCAAGGTTTCTTGAAGCTTAAGCCTAAACCTTCTATTCCCGGGTGGGGGGCCTGGTAGCTGTAAGGGGCCCTGATAGGCCCGAAGCTGCAGCCCTTAAGATCGTAAACCCTAAATCCCCTGGCTCCGGCATCCTTGACTCAGGACGACATCACCGCCGCTTTTCCCGAGCTGAGGCTGTACTGCCTGATCAGCATGGATGTCGCTTCGCCTGGACACGACAGGTTGATCTGAACGATGGGGCCATTTAGTGTTACCCTACACCTACGCCATGCAATGTCAGACCTTTTTAAAGGCCTCGTTTGATTTGTTTCTGGGGGCTGTAGGTGATTGAGAGTCAGCAAAAACTCACCGATCTGAAAGAAAAGACTATGACCAACCTCAACGTAGAGAGTTCTGACGTGTGTGTCCCCAATTTTCGGGTACAGGGCTTAGAGTTGCATCGGCTTGGAGGTGTGATGCTTTGTGCCTGCAGGGTCTTAAACTCGGGGTGCCCATGGCTGCCCTTTTTTTTTTTTGGGGGGGGGGGGGGGGGGGGGGTTGTGTCCTCGTGAAACTCCTCTTCGGCTAGATGCCCATGGCGGCTTGAAGTACCCCTCAGACCCCGTGTCCGCCACCAAACCTGGGGCCCCCCATCCGAGGAAGATGACATCACCAGGAGCCAGAGCCAAACTTCTTCAGCTTCCTGGTCAAAGATCGAGTCTCCAAGGTCTTTTGGGTGGTTGTAAAGTTTCAGGGTGGGCAGTGAAGGGTGTGGCCGTATAGACCCCAAACCCCAAGGCTTTAAGGGGCTTGAGGAAGGACCTGAGCGTGTAGACAGCTGTGCAAGCTAGTAGGCCTCCCTCAATGTAACTACTGACCTGGTTCGTCCGAGTGAGAGCGATCAAACCTTGCCAATGAAACAAAAAAACCTTATCAATGTTGGGGGGATGGAATTGTGAGCGGTTTTGCTCGGCCGCGGACCAAGAATATCCAGAAATAAAAGCCGCCGAAACGTGCGAGGAGTGCCCCAGGTCGCGAAAAATCGAGAAGCTCTCCGAAAAGTGGGAAAAGTGCGCCAGGACGCAAGCGAACAGCATGTTCTCACAGTGAATGGCCGAGCATAGTGCTTGAATTTTCCATACCAGTGAAACACTGCATTTGATGTCAGGCTCCAATTGTAATATGTCAGGAATTGAAAAGGAAGTATACGAATTCCCTTTCCGAACTCTACCCCCCCTGCCCCAAGATTATATGTTTTCATGGGAAGTGCATGAAGTCTTTGCCTAATGGGTGGTTGTTGTGCTTGTTGGTGCATGTTGAATTGCAGCCTAAACCAAAAAAAACGTAGTTTTAGGCTTTAGGGTCTGGGTCGAGGGTTTTGGGTTTAGGGTTTAGGGGGCCCCGTCACGTGTCCATTTTCGCAGCGGTCAAGTTTTGAATGCGTGGTTGTTTTGCTTATTGGCGCGTCCTGGTCTGAATGTGTAGTTGTACTGCTTACTGGTGCATCTTCGCTTGTAGTTAGTGTGTGTGTGTGTGTTTGTTTTTGTTTGTTTTGATTGTTTTTGGTACGCCTTAGCTCAAAGTCTGGTTGTTTTGCTGATTGGTTCGGGCATTCAGGCCAAGGCTCGGCTTTGGGACTGGCATAGCTGCAGGGGGTGAGGTCTTTAGGGCACTTTTCGGAGTTTGTTCTGGGGAACTTTTCCCACTTGTGCAGCGCACTTTTCGGGGCTCCCGCACTGGTCACACTTCTCGACCTTCGTGTTCTGGGACACCTGACGCCGACGCACTTTTGAGGGGCCTTTTCGCATGTCGACTTTTCGCGCACGAGGGCATGTGTCACACTTTCTACGCATGTTTTGCACTTTTCGGCTTTTCCAGTTTCGTGTCTTGAGTGTCTATTGGGGAACCCCGATGTAGGGAACACCCACCGCTTCAGCAACTGTGTTGGCCGCACCTCTTCTGCCGAAGAGGCACACCAAAAGGCTGCTTTTGAGGGGAGGGGAGGGGTTGGGATGTTCCCCCTTATACTAACTAGTCCTTAATAGGGGGTACTACAATCCCTATTCATGACTGATAGTATAAGGGGGAGCATCCCAACTGTGAGGGGGCTTCTTCAGCTCTTCATCAGGGCTCTCGCAGAGGTGACACAGGGTCTTCGGCGCCGCCAGCCCTAAACGTGTTAGGGTTTTAGGGCTCTAGGCTTTTAGGGTTTTAGGGTTTTAGGGTTTTAGGGTTTTAGGGTTTAGGGGTTTAGGGTTTTAGGGTGTTGCTAAGAAGCCCTAAGCCCCAAGCTGTACGCCCCAAACCTTGACAACCTGAAACCCCCAAACCGAACCACTCCCGCAACGCGGGTGCCAAAACACCCCAAAGCCTAAACCCCGAAACCTTCCTGATTCCTGTTCTTAAGCCCCAAAACTCCAGACCCCTAAACTTCCCCCTAAACCCCGAAAACCCTTTAAGGGCCTGTTCTTAAGCCCTAAATTCCCTAAACTTCCCTAAACCCCTGAAACCCGTTAAGGGCAGCATCACCACCTCGGGGCGTTCGGCCTTCGACGAGTATCAGCGTGCCTCGACATCGCCTTGGAGTTCGAGCTCGTGGGCTTTGGGAGTGAATTCTTGGTTTAGGGTCTAGGGTTTAGGGTTTAGGGTTGTTATTGAGGCTTTGGTATGAGTAGTAAGATGTGCAGATTAGAGTGTTAATGTACATATAAAAAGAACAAAACACACACACACACACACACACACACACCCGCACACACACACACACACACACACACACATGTACATACATACACACAGATACACATGTGTATATACAGATATGCATATGCATCGTTATTGATTTACTGTTTCTATCATAGAACCGGCGTCGCGCAAACGCCTCTGGAGCTTGAAGAGGGTGGTTTGAAAGGGTTTTATATATCCAGCTGAGGGTATCTAGTTCTGTAAGGTTAAGGGTTTTAGTGTTTAGGGTTTAGGGTTTAGAGACCGGGATCTCCGCCCCCCTCCCCCAACCCAACCCCACGCCATCAATGGTTTCCGGCCCACGGGACGTATGTGTTCATGAGCCCGGAAAGCTTGCTTCACCAGCCTCGGTTGGCATCTACTGTTGCGGTCTTTGGGGCGGGGGCATATTCAGACGCTGCATCACCCAACAGTTTAAAGGCGCACCTGTGCGCAATCACTTTGTTCATGTAGTCTCAGAAAGGTCTTGGTCATGGGAGATGGCCCTGAATCTCCAAGCCCTTAGACAACAGTTGAGCCTCAAGCTTTCTAAAGTTACCTTTCAAACTCTCCTGGTTGCTGCATGAAACCGTGGCAGTAACGTTAAGTTCGCCCAAGCCCTAAACCCCGGAACCCCTGCCCCTTCGGCACTCCAGTATCTCGAGCCCCAAGACCAGAACACGACCTCCGCATGAGGCACGATTGGTGCCCTGTTCTGCGTGTTCTGGCTGATGATCCTTGGCTGTAGACAACTTCAGAAAAACCCCCCAAACCTGTGTACATTATATATATATATGTACATATACATATATATATATATGTTTACATGTATGTATATACATATATATATATATATATACATATACATATTTGTATATGTGTATGTTTTTTTTTTTGGGGGGGGGGGGTGGCTGCCCTTAACTCTAAACCCTAAACCCTAAACCCTCGTGAAACTCAGAACCTTGGCCCCTCAGAGGGCTTCTGTGGTTTTAGGGTTTAGGGTCTAGGGTCTAGGGTTTAGGGTCTAGGGTCTAGGGTCTAGGGTTTAGGGTCTAGGGTCTAGGGTCTAGGGTTTAGGGTTTAGCGTCTAGGGTCTAGGGTCTAGGGTTTAGGGTTTAGGGTCTAGGGTCTAGGGTTTAGGGTCTAGGGTCTAGGATCTAGTGTTTAGGGTCTAGGGTCTAGGGTCCAGGGTCTAGGGTCTAGGGTTTAGGGTCTAGGGTCTAGGGTCTAGGGTTTAGGGTCTAGGGTCTAGGGTCTAGGGTTTAGGGGGGTCTAGGGTCTAGGGTCTAGGGTTTAGGGTCTAGGGTCTACGGTCTAGGGTCTAGGGTTTAGGGTTTAGGGTCTAGGGTCTAGGGTCTAGGGTTTAGGGTTTAGGGTCTCGGGTCTAGGGTTTAGGGTTTAGGGTCCAGGGTTTAGGGTTTAGGGTCTAGGGTCTAGGGTCTAGGGTCTAGGGTTTAGAGTCTAGGGTTTAGGGTCTAGGGTCTAGGGTTTAGGGTCTAGGGTCTAGGCTCTAGGGTCTAGGGTTTAGGGTTTAAGGTCTAGGGTCTAGGGTCTAGGGTTTAGGGTCTAGGGTCCAGGGTCCAGGGTCTAGGGTCTAGGGTTTAGGGTCTAGGGTCCAGGGTCTAGGGTTAGGGTATAGGGTTTAGGGTTTAGGGTTTAGGGTTTAGGGTCTCGGGTCTTGGGTCTAGGGTTTAGGTCTAGGGTCTAGGGTCTAGGGTCTAGGGTTTAGAGTCTAGGGTTTAGGGTCTAGGGTCTAGGGTTTAGGGTTTAGGGTCTAGGGTCTAGGGTCTAGGGTTTAGGGTCTAGGGTCTAGGGTCTGGATTTAGGGTCTAGGGTCTAGGGTTTAGGGTCTAGGGTCCAGGGTCTAGGGTCTAGGGTTTAGGGTCTAGGGTCGAGGGTCTAGGGTCTAGGATCTGGGTCTAGGGATTAGGGTCTAGGGTCTAGGGTTTAGGGTTTAGGGTCTAAGGTCTAGGGTTTAGGGTTTAGGGTCTAGGGTCTAGGGTTTAGGGTTTAGGGTCTAGGGTCGAGGGTCTAGGGTCTAGGGTCTAGGGTTTAGGGTCTAGGGTCTAGGGTCTAGGGTTTCTAGGGTTTCTAGGGTTTCTAGGGTTTCTAGGGTCTAGGGTCTAGGGTTTAGGGTTTAGGGTCTAGGGTCTAGGGTTTAGGGTCTAGGGTTTAGGGTCTAGGGTCTAAGGTCTAGGGTTTAGGGTTTAGGGTCTAGGGTCCAGGGTTTAGGGTCTAGGGTTTAGGGTCTAGGGTTTAGGGTTTAGGGTCTAGGGTCTAGGGTTTAGGGTCTAGGGTCTAGGGTTTAGGGTTTAGGGTCTAGGGTTTAGGGTTTAGGGTCTAGGGTCTAGGGTTTAGGGTCTAGGGTTTAGGGTCTAGGGTTTAGGGTTTAGGGTCTAGGGTCTAGGGTTTAGGGTCTAGGGTCCAGGGTCTAGGGTCCAGGGTTTAGGGTCTAGGGTCTAGGGTCTAGGGTTTAGGGTTTAGGGTCTAGGGTCTAGGGTTTAGGGTCTAGGGTCTAGGGTCTAGGGTTTAGGGTCTAGGGTCTAGGGTTTAGGGTCTAGGGTTTAGGGTCTAGGGTTTAGGGTTTAGGGTTTAGGGTCTAGGGTCTAGGGTTTAGGGTCTAGGGTTTAGGGTATAGGGTTTAGGGTTTAGGGTCTAGGGTCTAGGGTCTAGGGTCTAGGGTCTGGGTCTGGCAGAAGAACCTGAGGGACCCGTTGTCGGGTTTTTGGGGGTGAAGGGTTTCTCTTGCTGCGCAGTACCTCAGGGGCCCACTCCCAGCAGCCGGGAATCCCCGAGCTCAAACGCAAGGGCTTAGGGAGACGAACAAGGGTTTGGGGTTTTAGGGTGTAAACTTAGGGTTTAGGGCTTAGGGATGTTTGGGGTTTAGGTTCCCCCTAAACCCGACAGTCTGAGGCGCCAGCACTTGGATGGCCGCGAGTGCTTCTCTTACGGCCTGAACCAAGACTGGCTCCCGCCACTACAGCGCATTGTTGGGGACGTTGCTACATAGCGAGGACCCAGAGTAGGCCCTTATGTAGGGTTTCGGTTCCCTGCTGAGCCCCTTTAAACCAAAAAGGGCACCAATTTTATTCCTAGGTTACTCTTGGGGTCTAGAGCTACTTGCAATTATAGTTATCCATTCTCCCTCACTTTGACTTGGCACACAAAAAACCTAGACCCGAAGCCTTAAAGATAAGTCGTTCTCCGAAGTTGTCCCTGCAGTGCTTCGGCTTGGCCGGTGGCAAAAGATAAGGCGAACGCAGAAGGACTTTACGGACGATGCAGACAGCTTTCCGGCTGGCACGGTGTTGGGAGGGGGGGGGTTGGGTTTCGCGGTCATAACCCCTAACTTTAACCCTGGCCCTAAACAAAACAGCCAGCTCAGCCTCCGGGTTTAGGGTGTAAGGGTGAAAACTCGAAGCCACCCTAAACCCTGAACTCACATGAAATCCTCCAGCCAAGGTGGACATAATGATGAGCTGCAGTTGGAGTGGCAGAAGCGCCAAGCGACATGGCTGCAGCGCGCTTGGGGTGTAGGAACCCTCAGAATCTGACTTCTGGGCCCTGTGTGGTGCCTCTAGCCGACAGGGCGGTGCTGGAGAAGTAGAGAACCAGGGCCCAGGCACAAGCAATTTGGCCTGCTTCTTATCTGCTGAGGGCTCCTTCTACGAGTTTCGAGTGCTTTTTGGGCTTATGGGTCTATTCGAGAGGAATTCGAATTGCCCAGTTGTGGATCCTTGATTGAGAGGTACTGCGCTGCCCAAAATTTAAAATTGGGGGAGGGGGGGGGGGGGGTTGGTTGGGTGGGGCGAGAAAGGGTTGTAGTCTGCGTGTGTGGATGGTTCTCTAGGGAGGCTCGTAGGACATTGTATATTTTCCTTCATTGGGTTGAACAGGATCATATGCAGGAATATTTTTCAGAGAGAGGGTTTTTGGGCCATCCTAACCCTAAACCCTAAACCCTAAACCCTTCTGACACAGGCTTGATTGTGAGCAGAGTACCCTAAAGCCGAAAGCCTGCAGTGTAGGGTTGCCAGTGCCGGACTCGGGAGGAGACCCATCCACAAAGGTTTAGGGTTTAGGGTTTAGGGTTTAGGGTTTAGGGTTGACATCTTCCTTACAGCCAGACTCAGAGAAAGCTTCATGAGAAGCCATGATTGTGGGTAATGGGTCCTATTCGGGTTTAGGGCTCACACATCCCATGTGCCATCGACTCGCAACCCTTGAGACCCCGAGGGTCCATTTGTAGTACCATTATGGCATTAGGTACCCAATAACCCTTCTGAATAGGGCTTTAGGTTCCCAGTTCCATAATAGTAGTGCAAATGGACCATCTGGGAAACATTGTCCCAGGCTTTCTACGAGCGCACGGACTGGGAAGCTTTCGAGAACCTTATCGTCGCTGCGGGGTCGCGTGGCGCGTTTTATTGAAATTTGCAGGGGCCGTTGTCCCATTTTGTCTTCACAAGATTCAGGAGTTAGCGCTTCACTAAACCCTAAACCCCAAACCCCTAAACCCTAAACCCTAAACCCCAGCATTGCCTTCCCTGTTTGTGTGGGGTGCGTTGTCTTGGATCACCGATGCCCAGCTGCCTTGGCTACTTAACCCGCAAGCCGTGGGATGTTCCCCCTTATACTAACAGCCCTTCATTGGGATTGTAATGGGGGGGTGTTAACAGCCCTTCATAGGGATTATCATTGGGGGGGGTGGGGTACTATAATCCCTATTAAAGACTGTAAGTCTAAGGGCGAACATCCCAACCCTGAGCCTTTAGCCCGTGACAGGCTCCTAAAGAAGAAGGGAGGCCCCCACGATGCGGAAAGGCGCCGCGCAGAAACCAAGTTCGGCTTGGAGTTCAGGTTTCTTTAGGCTTCCTGGCAAGTGAGGCTTCAAGATGTGGTTTTTTTGTGCTCACGGGTCTCTTTGACTCTCTCTCTCTCTCTCTCTCTCTCTCGCTCGCTCTCACTCACTCTCGCGCGCTCTCTCGATCTCTCTCTCCCTCTCTCTTTCTCTCCGTGTCTTTCTCTCTCAAGTTGGTGTTCTGGAGCTTCTTGCGGGGAGTTTCGGGGTAATATCACAAACGACGATCCAGAAATAATCCAAAACCATATACACAGTACCGGCTCACGAGTCCTTCCAGGCTTCTGCAAGCAACCTGCCCTCTCGAAAGGGCTTGCCTTAGGAGCCTCACATTCTACAAACTGCTCAAGAACCCCCAAAAATTAGAACATTCGTCCAAGTAAGGGCAACATGGGGGTTAACATAAATAGTAGTAAAACCCCATATCTCGTCGGTTGCTTAAGAAGCCTTAAGTATTTTCCATTGTAGGACAACAAGTCAAGTAGCTTTCGGGTTGTCAAGGTACGGCTCAGGCCAAACCCTACGTAGCCGCAGGCCCTAGACACTTCGTCGTCGAACAATTGCAATGGGGTAGCTTCCCGCCCATTCCCTCCAAGCTCCTGGGTCCTTTCATGTCTGCCCTGAACTCTTGCTGGCGTCCCGAAGAATCCGAGGCTGAAATCAATTCATATGCCCTGAAACTGGGGCTGCTTTCCCTCAGAGGAACAACCCCCTTATACAAACTTCGTATGGGACGCTGAAAAAAAATGGGAATGCTGTAGGGGAAGTTTTTCGTCTTACGGGCGTAGGTTAGTTCTAGGGTCCTTAAAAAAGGAGGGGGGGGGTTCAGAGGAGTATGTGACCCAGAGGAGTATGTGACCCAAGGTTCCCTACTACTTCCCTAAGCTTCCCTAAACTTGCCTAGGTACATCTAGGTACCTACCCCCCCCCCCCCTCTCCCTTGAGAACCCTAGAAGGGTGAGCATCGGTTTTAGGGTTTAGGGTAGGGCAGAGGCCCCCTGTGGAAGGACCTTGGCCCTGCTGGTCCTGATGGTTATCCATGACCTCATGCGCCTCGTCAGACCAGCTTCTCCGTGCTTGAGGCCTTAAGCATTCCCAAGGAGGACTAAACCCTAAACCCTAAACCCTAAACCCTAAACCCTAAACCCTAAACCCTAAACCCTAAACCCTAAACCCTAAACCCTAAACCCTAAACCCTAAACCCTAAACCCTAAACCCTTTCAGTACGGCCTAGAGCTCAGACAGGAAACCTATCGGCTCCCAGGTTCGTTACAGACTTGTCTGACGGGTTTGCGTAACCTAACCCTAAACCCTAAACCCTAAACCCTAAACCCTAAACCCCCTCTATAAACTACAGAGCAGTAGGTGTGGTCTTAGAGTAATAGCCCTTAGCCCAGTCAACCCCGAGAAGAATTCTGAAGCAAAACCACAAGTCCTAAGCTCGCCTCGTGTGTTCCACGGAGACCTGCGGCCGACCCAGAAAAGTCCTTTAGGGTGTAGGGTTTAGGGTTTAGGGGTTAGGAGGGTTTGCGTGATCTTGGCTGGCAGAGAAGCTGCTTATGTCGAGAGGCACCAAGTCCAGGCGAAGTGGCAAGCCTGTTGCAAAAAGGGGTCATTAAAATTAAGGCCCACTCGTTCATAACCAAAAACCGCCCCTTCGGACAGCCTAAGGTTGTCCACTTGAGGGGTAGGGGTCTAAACCCTAAACCCTCAAGCTGAGGAAGCTCGACCGCCTGCGGCCGATCTGCTCTGTGAAGACCTTCCAGGGCTACAAGAAAGGCGAGTCGCCTCTTGGCACCCAGAATGCCAGGGGGCCCTTGGGTGTGCAGAATCCCCTTGGAGGCCCGTATGCTAACCTAAGAACCCAGGGCCCGTTCATTTCATAGGTGAGGGAAAGATCTCTTTTGAAGGCTTTCTCTAGCCATAACCTACCAAAAAGTAGGTTTTGGGTTTCGGATCAGTTTGGGGATTTAGGCGATCTTGATTTTCGGTGAGGGTGGTAAACAACTCAAAACCTTCATAGACTCCCAAGTACTCCCCAACAGATCCTGAAGCTTCACCTCCCCCTCTCGTCGTTAACAGCACATTAATTACTTCTCTTCCCGGATTGTGCCCTGCAATGTGACGGCAAGCTAGGCGGGTGGCAAAAGAAACTCATCGGCCCAACGGACCCGAATGCAGACACGTGCCACGCACACGGCGAATAAAAGCAACGTGGCGCACGACACGAGATCCAAATTGAAGTGGCTTATGCGTCTCTTTCTCTGTTTCTCTCTCTCTCTCTTTCTTTCTCTCTCTCTCTCTCTCTCTCTCTGTCTTTCTCTCTCTCTCTCTCTCTCTCGGTCTCTCTCTTTCATCTGTCTTCTTGTCTCTTTGTCGTAGTTCTCTTTCTCATTCATTCTCGCTCTCTCTCTCATCTCTCTCTCTCTGTCTCTGAGCACTTGATCTTTCTCTCAGCTCGGTCTCAACTCTCTCTCATCTAGGGCCGCCCTTGCCGACAAACATCCTGCAGGATTGCATCCCGACTGCTCAATGGCGGAAATACTGGAGAGAACTGACAATACGAACTCTTCATTCAGCAAACGAAGGGAGCCTGGAAGCTATGAAGAACCGAATAAGTCTTGTCCATTTCTGCATACTTTAACGTAGGCATACAATCACACATCTGTTTCGTAACATATAAATATACATATTATACATAAACATATATATATATATATTTATATTTATATATACATATACATATCATAGGCCTACGCTGTGTTCGCAAGGATCGGCGACCACGACATTGCGCTCAGCTTGCCGGATTCGATTGGTGAGGGTGCGGTGTTGGGGCGTTGGGCCTTACAGCCCTTCCATGTCTCAAACTCTTTTCGAGCCTTGCAATAGCCCTTCAACCAGGATTCACAACCTCGCAACCCTTAAGTGCCGCAGTGTGGGAATGGCAAGTTGGTCGCGTTGTCAGCTTTTGGTCAAGGGCTCAGGGTTTTGGTTGAGCGATACTGGGAGCCTGTGCAAGGCCGATGTCGGATCGTCATTCATCCTGAGGTTTCGCATTCTTGTGGGGGGTTTAGGGTTTAGGGTTTAGGGTTTAGGGTTTAGGGTAATCCAGCCTGTAAGCCCCGAGCCATGACAAGCCAAGGCTATGTGCTGGAACGGCATTCCTCCGCCCTGCCCTCCTTCGCGGGCTTGCCGTCTGAGCAGCAGAAGAGTATCCGCTTCACCCACTGCGACCCTGCCCGCAGATGCAGAGGGTTTAGGGTTTAGGGTTTAGACCCTAAACCTGAAATCCAGAGCCCGGAGTCTGACCCTAAACTTGGGATGTTGCCCCTTTTATACAAACAGTCCTGAGTAGGGATTTTAATCGGTGGTATTATGATCCCCATTAAGGGCTGTTAGAAATAAGGGAGAGCATCCCAACCCTAAACCCAGAATACAGAAAAAAACAGCGGCCAACTACGTATACGTCAAGGCTGACGGCATCGAGCTCAAGGTAATTGGAGCCGGCCCTTACAGCCCAAAGCGGATCTCAGGTTGCGGGTCACGTTCTTTGTTTTATTTTGGGGGGGGTTGGGGGGTGGGGGGTCTGCAGCCCACACTTTCAGATCCGCTTCGGTTCGATTCGATGTCGATAACGCAGCCTGGCAGCCTGGCGAGACCTTCCTGTTCGATACCGATACGGGTTCGAAAGACCCCAAACCCTGAACCCTAAACCATCCATGAAAGTAAGGCTTCCGAACTTTGATCAGAGGAAGGATGTGCCAAACGTGTGATACTTGAGACTCAGCCTCGGCATGAAGTCGCAAATCGGACATGCTTTGGTACCTTTTTCAATTCAAGGCAAGCTGGAGTACAACATGGGATGGTTGGCCACTCTGCAGCAATGATCGCAGCGGGAGGCACATGCTTCCCTAAACCCTACTGGAAGGTTCATGGGTAGTTATCAGTGGGGTAAAAAGTAGGGTAACTATAACTATAACTGGCTATAACTTTGTTTAGGGTTCTTATAGCCCCACTTGTAACTACCCATGAACCTCCAAGTAAAGCCTGGATTGGGCCAGGTTTTGAGGGATGCAAGCTCGAGACGCTGTCCGATGCCCGGGTTTTGGCCTTTAGGGTCCCAAACCCAAGTACCCCAAAGCCCAGGGAATATAGGGTACCTCATTCCCTCAGTCCCTACTCACCAACAGGAAAAGAAGGGGGTACCATAGTCCCTACTAAGGACTGTTAGTAGAACCCTAAACCCTAAACCCTAAACCCTAGACCCTAGACCCTAAACCCTAAACCCTAAACCCTAAACCGTGGCTCCCAAGTTCTATACTAAGGTCCAGGCGGAGGCGCCCCCCGGGGCACTCTTCCGTGCCTTCCGCCGGGTGATCCAATCAGGAGAAACTGGGAGGTCGAAGAGTCCTAATATGGTTCAGGGTTTAGGGTTTAGGGTTTAGGGTTTAGGGTTTAGGGTTCAGGGCTTAGGGTTTATCGAGGCGGGCGAAGTCTCTTGAAAAGGGTTTACGGTTTAGGGTATGTTTATGTAGGGTACCCTAAACCCTAAACCCTAGAAACCCCAAACCCAGTCTTAGGGTTTGGGGTTTGCCAGGGCCGGCGTTGAAGTTTAGGGTGCAGGGGTTCCTGCCGGGGCTTAGCTGCTGGCAAGAACCCTACCCCTAAACCCTAAACCCTAAACCCTAAACCCCACGCGCTCCTGCGCGGAGAGCAGGACTGGCCAGCGACAGGGACTCCTCCAAGGAAGTGGCGTTCTACTTCATCCACTGGTGCGAGGGAGGGGGCGGGAAGGGGGAGGAGGGGGAATCTGTTGGGGCAGGTTAGTACTTTTTAGTACTTTGTCAAATCTTTTTTAGTACTTTGTTAGTACTTTGTTAGTACTGGTGCCTGAAGCGGGTGGTTTCCGACACGTCTCCGGTAGTATTGGCATGGCAGCTCCGTCGAGGTGATAGTATGACCTTCCACGTGTTTAACGGGAAAACAGTGGGGATTCTTTAGGGCCCTGTAGAAGACATTTCGGCCAAAGGCCAAGGCCCAGCAGCACCAGCATCCAAGTCATATTCGCTCACAGCTTATATGCATCATAGGACCCGAAACTTTGTCATAGTTGGGTAACATTTTACATCTTTAAGGGTACTTAAACCCAATAAGGAATATTTATTTTATTTTTAGCACCATCCCAATCATGAACCAGTAAACCCGAAACCCTAAACCCCTTTAAGCAATCAGGGCGCCAGTTCTATCCTTTGGCCACTCTGGGATCTTAGAACCGAAAGCCTCGGTCTGCAAGAGATGGTGAGAACCAATTGGCCATGACCAACTGTGTTTAGGGTTTAGGGTTTAGGGTTTAGGGTTTAGGGTTTAGGGTTTAGGGTCCTTTGGAGCTGAACTCTAGTTAGTGGCCTGAGCAGCCAAATTTTCAAATGTTCACTAAAGCCGCGGGGCCCTGGAGCTAACCCTGCACCCCAGATCCTAAACCCTGGCAATCCCTCTAACCCAAAACCCCTAAACCCGAACTCCATGGATCTTCAACCCTAAATCCACAGCCCTAGTGCAAACACCTGCCCTAAACTCCATGGGTCTTCAATCGCCCCACGGCAATCAGGTTCGCAGACCTTGCCGGTGCCGAGCCTTATCCACTGCAGGGCTGCGAGAAGTTTGTGCTGAAGTGCCAGGGCGAAAGGGGGTGGCTTACAGGGTTTATAGTAAACTCCAGAAAGTTGGAACATTGTTTGAGGATGATTGGACCTGGGATTCCCTGTTGTGTACCTTTTGGGGTATGGGGATACGGGTTTGTAAGTGTCATTGCCTATCGCCCAGGGCCTGCAGGGAGTTCGTTGGTTGTAGGAGGAGCCAACAGCCCGAAATCTCCAGACTCTCCAAGCCCCAAGCGCCTAAGGCCATGAGTTTCACGCATAGCATCCGATATTTGCCTTCTCCCCCCCCCCCCCCCCCCCAAAAAAAAAAAACAAACAAATCAAGGCCCAAAAGCAGTCTTCAACCCTAAGCCCTATTTTCGCCCTCTTTCGGGCAGAAGGCTGTTAGGGTTGGGGTAGATGGGCTCCCAGACATGAAGCATAGCCCCGAAAGCGCCTTAGAGTTGAACCCTAAACCCTAAACCCTAAACCCTAAACCCTAAACCCTAAACCCTAAACCCCCTCCAAAAATAGACTAAACCCTACAGGGTCATGGTGGCCCCGTTTTGAGAGTAGGCCGCTGCCCTAAACTCTTAAACCCCGAAAAGTAAAATGTCCGAGTCGTTCCTGATGAGCCTCGAGCCTATGCATCCCGATGTTGAGAGACTCTCTTTGGGGTTTAGGGTTTAGGGTTTAGGGTTTAGGGTTTAGGGCGATGAGTGCCTGGTCTTGCCTTGGGAACACCCCCGCACCCCCCCCCCCCCCCTCCCACCAGACACCACGAAACGGGGGTTTGCGATATTCGGGGTACCTTGTTGGGTCCTCATATTATAAGGGGATCCTACTATTTGGGAACCCTCAAGAATCCTAAGCCCGAAGCCCGAAACCCTAAACCCCACTTTCGTAAACCCCCAAATCCCAAGACGGACATCCTGCGATCAGGTTCCCCAAGCATGTGCTTACCAGCTTCGTGGAGACTTGCCTGAACATGGCCGGGACTCGGAACGACTGTTCTTGGGGTTTAGGGTTTAGGGTTTAGGGTTTAGGGTTTAGGGTTTAGGGTTTAGGGTTTAGGGTTTAGGGTTTAGGGTTTAGGGTGCAAAAAAAAAGGGGTTTAGGGGAGCCCCTTGAGCAATTTGGGCCGCCTCACGGCCGAAAAGCCTGTGTTCTTAACTACAAGCCTGTGTTCTTAACCCTAGTAGTAGAGTAGGTAACCTTTAACCTTTTTGGGGTAATAGAATCCCCTTATAATCCTAAAGGTTAACCTTGAGTTCCCCCAGGTTACTGGACAACTAAGTAGCTACTTCAAGCTCTGGTTCCCCCCTTATCTATCAACCCTAAGCACACTTTATCAATCCCCAATGATCCCTAATTTGGAGGCTTGTGAATATTTGGGACGTTGTGGCCCCCAAATTGAATCTCCGCCGCACTTTCCGCAAAAGCCTAAACACTTGCCCCAGGCCCTAAGCCCGAAACACTGAAACCTAAACCTTAGTGGTTTGGGCATTCAAGGAGTCCTTTCCCGTGGTATGGACGCTGGGTCCGAAGACGGAAACGCAGGTCTACGAGGCCCTCGGGCTTACGGCAATGCGGGGGGGCTTCTTTGTGTCTGCGTGTCTGCAGGGCATACAACTTAAAATCTATGGGGTTTGGGGCTAAGGTTCCTGGCTTCAAATTTAGGTCGTCTGCTCGTGATGCCCTTTAAGGCCCTAAACCCTAAATGTTGGTCGATTCTGAGTGGTATGTGGGGCTGAGGACCACTTTGAGGGTGTATAAGCTTTAGGGCTTAGGGTGAGTGTAGGGCGCACATAAGAAGAATCCCTAAAGCGTCTAATGTACATTCCTCAGATACCGGGTAATGGGTTTTAGGGTTCAGGGCGTGAGTGTTTAGGGTTTCGGGTGTGGGGCGGGAGTGGTCCTAACACAGAACACTCATTTGGGCTTTGTCTTCTGGCATGAGGCTCATGCGACCTCCTGTAGGCTGTGGCATAGGGCTTCTCTGAGCTCTCGGGGTTTACGCGTTTAGGTGCCCGCATTCAGGGTCTGAGGCTTCAGAGCAGAACAGGTGTGTGTGTGTGTGTGTGTGCGCATTGAGTTGCTCAGTGCGGTAGGAATATCGGACGGTTGGCATTCCAATCTCGCCGGGCTAAGATTTGAATGGCTTGACAGCCCTAAACCCTAAACCCGAAACCCTAAACAGGACTACCTCGAGTGGCGCTGGCAAAACTTGCCCAAGCTCGGCCCAGTGCCGGCTGACGCCACGGCCATCGCCAAGATGCGCCCGCTGGCAGCCGTCAAAAGAGGGCTCCCTCAACCCTAAACCCTAAACCCTAAACCCCAAACCCCAAACCCTAAACCCTAAAGCAAAACACCGGCCTCCTAAGACCATCAAGTTCAGCGTGTCACATCGGTGTCAAAAATTCTGGGGCCCCTTTTGTTTTTGGCCTCCGAACACTTGCCAGGTATGTCTTTCTTTGGGTAACCCTCAAGGGAGATTTAGGGTTTAGGGTTTAGGGTTTAGGGTTTAGGGTTTAGAGTCTTTCTTTGGGTAACCCGCAAGGGGGACCAGGATTTAGAGCAGACAATTCACCACATGGGCATTTCCCAACATGGCGGGCGCCCCAAAGATGCCCCAAAGCACGAGAATCCCTAAACCCTAAACCCTAAACCCCAAACCCTTTATCCTTAGCCGTAGTGTAGGAACCGCCCTCCCATAGTCCCACGGCTGGCAGCCCGCGAGCTTCTCCCCAAAGACCTCAAGGGATCAGGGCTTGGGTTCAAAGCCTCATCCGAAAAGTCTGGGTTTAGGGTTATTAGGGTTATTAGGGTTATTAGGGTTATTAGGGTTATTAGGGTTATTAGGGTTATTAGGGTTATTAGGGTTATTAGGGCTATTAGGGTTATTAGGGTTATTAGGGTTATTAGGGTTTAGGGGCTCAGTTCCGGGTTCAAAAAAGCGTTACAAGGTTAATTAGGGTTAAGGGTTCAGGGCGGAAGAGAACCAAAAAGAATCCCAGGCCTCGTCATCATGGCCCAGAGTGATGGCAGTGCCATCATCCGGGCCCTTAGCAGCCCGGCTGCCTTCACATAGGGGCGCAAGGGCGTGGGGCGCGCTTGCTTGGGAAGTTGGGGGATTCTGCGGCGTGCCTAAGCCGTGACATCCAGGTCCCTCCAGACCCCTAACCCTTACCTAAACCAGATAAGCTCCAAACCCTGTAACCCTAAACCCTAAACCCTAAACCTCTCAGCTCTTCGCACCGTCCTTCAGCCATCGGCTATCGTGAGGGTCGAGATGTAACCTCTCAACCCTTAGAGCGACTCCGGGAACCTCTTAGAGTCTAAAATTGTTTAAAGGGCTTAGGGTTTAGGGTTTAGGGTTTAGGGTTTATAGGGTTTAGGGTTTAGGGTTTAGGGGCTTACCGGGGGTTCATGGGGTAGCGGTGTTAAACTAGATGGATGCCCCTTCCAAGGTCGATGCATCGGTTTGTTCAGGGTTGAGGGGTTTTCGGGGTTTTGGATTTGAGGGCCGGGTTCAGTTAGGGTCTAGGGTTTAGGGTTTACGGTCTAGGGTCTATAGGGTTTTAGGGTTTAGGGTCTAGGCTTGTTGCTCAAAAAAGGGTTTAGGGTTTAGGGTGGGGTCAAGGCGAGGTGCGAAGCCTGTTGCAAAGGGTGGGTTCCGGAACAGGGATCGGGGACCCATGCTCTGACGGCCTTCAGCCAAGAGTCGCCTCGAGGCAAGTTAGACCGAGAAGACATGGAGATCATTTCCGAGGAGCTGTCGCTGACAGGCCACCACTCAATGCCTCTCAAGGGACCCTAAACCCTAACCCTAAACCCCAAACCCTAAACCCTAAACCCTAGTTGCGCCCTGAGGTCGACCCGTAAAGCCCGAAAAGCCCTGCGATGTTGTACAAGTTGTACAATGTTTTTAAGTAGCCGAATCCCTAAAAGGGCTTGGGGTTAGGGTTTAGCCTGCGCAAAGAACAGTTTCACTGCCAAAACGCCTAAGTCCTAAGTCCTAAGTCCTAAACCCCCTAAACCCCCTAAACCCCCTAAACCCCCTAAACCCCCTAAAAACCCTAAAAACCCTAAAACCCTAAAAACCCTAAACCCAAAAAACCCTAAAAACCCTAACCCTAATTTCTAAACCCTGAAACCTAAGCGGCAAGCAGGTTTGTGCGACCAGTCCTTCTCGAAGGTCGTTGGCCCCAAGTGCCCCGGCCGGGCTGCTTGTTTCTGGTTGTGTTCGGGTTTAGGGTTTAGGGTTTAGGGTTTAGGGTTTAGGGTTTAGGGTTTAGGGTTTAGGGTGTAGGGTTTAGGGTTTAGGGTTTAGGGTTAGGGTTTAGGGTTTAGGGTTTAGGGTTTCGGGTTTAGGGCTTGTAGGGTGTAGATGGAGATCAGATGTCTTGAGCTGCACCAAGCAAACCCAAACCCATGATGGACCTCAATCCCACTACTCCGTAATCATCATCATTCAAACCCAGCTCCCAAACTCCTGCCAGCCTCAACCCCACCTCACAATCCCGCATTGTGGCAGACTCGTCAAGTAGCAGCGGGCGTTCTGCAGTTCTAGGGTCGCAGCTAAGTTGTCAAATGAGGCGGGGCCCTGCCCTTTTGCTTTACTACGCGCCAGCCATGATGCAGAAGGCACTTTGCTTCGGCTTTGGGCACCTTCGACTTGTTGAGGGCGCCGAAGCTTTTGAGCTATGAACTCTCTGTTTCAACAAGGACCCTACCCTCACACATACTTTGGACGGATCTGCTTCCCAAAGTACGGTCAGCTCTTTGTTCTTGGTTCGTGTGCCAGCGTAATAATTCAGTACTCACGACACCACAGTTTTGTCAGGCGATTTCAAGCCCCAAGGACAAAGTACTCGTAACGACGAGTCTGCTTTCCTAAGTTGTTGATCGGGTTTAGGGTTTAGGGTTTAGGGTTTAGGGTTTAGGGTTTAGGGTTTAGGGTTTGGGGTTCTCCTCCCAATCCAAATCTCACAGTCGCCACATCCCCAGTCCTCGAAAGGCCGATCACGTCCCACAGAAAGCTCTTTTCCTCCTTGATTAAGCGAGGAAACAAGACTTATAATCACAGGGGGGGGTTTACCAAAATGATAAGGACGGATCTACATCTGGGGTGCGTATTCGGGGTACCCCTCCTTTGGGACATATCCCATGTAGAATCTTTGTTGGCTTGAAGGCGTAGTCCTTGATCACATCAGGGTCTCTGGGCTTTGGGTTGTTGCACTCTGTGAGGTGCTGCTGAGGCCAACCGTAAGAAGCAGCCATGGACATGATTTCTCAACCCTGGCCCCACATAATAAGCTCCAATAATGATGCCAAACTGCGTACGGGCAGTTCTCTAAGCTAGGGACCCTTTTTACATGGTGCCGTACGATGCAGGAGACCCAAAACGGGGCCCTAATTCAAAGAACTACCCCTTAGGCTTAGGGTTTTAGGGCAAAGTGCTCTCCCCTGCCCCGGCCCGAGACAAGCAACCAGCTGGTCCAGGCCGGCCGAGAGGATGCTCTGAACACCCTGCGCATCCTTGCGGAGCGGCGGCTGCTCTGTTTAGGGTTTAGGGTTTAGGGATTAGGGTGCGCATGTGGGTGTGTTTGTGTCGACTTGTTTGCCACAGGCAAGCCTGATGTAAAGCGGTAAGTACTGAGGACGCCAGACAATTTTCAAGACGCTATTAGAACTGTGGGGTTTGAGTCGGTTTGAGCCTGTTTCGTGGGATCCAGTGTCAGGAGGGTCCATGGTGTTACCTTGATCCGGTTAAGAGGCTGCTGGGGAGTGAGGGCCTGTGTATGTCGGTGTGTGATGAGATGTTGTTCTGCAACTCAGCAATCTCACACAGGATCTTAGGGCCTTAGGGCCTTAGGGTGTCCGGCTGGTCCTGAGGCCACGTGCCATGGCCGCATCCTTGTGTCCCGCGCCGCGCAGGAGGTGGGCAAAGCCGCTAGGAGGCTGGAAGGCATCTCCACGCCGCATCGGCGTCTTGCTCCTGGCCGCCTCAGTCAGCTGGAGATGTGGACCCCTCCTCTTCGCCACCGAGGCGCCCTCGAACAAGGAACTCGGGCGGAGCCCGGAAACTCGCAGCCTTTATGTGGGAAACCTTCCCTGGAGCACCAGGGGCGAGGAGCTCCGCGTGATCTTCGAAGAAGCGGGCACGGTTCTCCGGAGCGAGGTTGAGATGATCTTCGGTAAAAAATCGCGAGGTTGGGGCACCGTGACCATGTCCACGCCGGAGGAGGCTGTGAAGGCCGCAGAGAAGTTTGACGGTTTCACGATTCGAGGATCGTCCAGGGGCAACGCAACAGAGCGCCAGCTCACTGTGAATCTGGAGAAGCGCTGCTTGGTGCTCAGCAATTTGCCTGACGGCAGTACGTTCGAGACAATCAAGGGTCTTTTCGATGACCTCGCAATCGCCCGCCCTTATGTCAACCTCGGCCTATTCCCCAATGAGACGTCTCCTGGACACGCGGTGGTGATTTTCAAGACCGAAGAGGACGCCCAAAAGGCCTTGAGTATGAACGAGAAGGAAATGGGAGGGTGGACGCTGTATGTGGGCCACTTTTGACATGCGCGTTAGCCAAGAGTGGTTCAAAACGAGATTTGCTGAGGGCTTGTCCAGGCAATGGCAGCTAAAACCCCAAGCCCTGAATCCCCTACACTCTAAACTCCACAGAGATGCTACCCGAAACCCTGTGGGGTGCAGGGGTTGAGGTTTAAGGGTTTAGGCTTGTATCCACAGCAGCGTTAGGGGGTCTAGGATTTGGGAGTTAGGAGTAGTTAGGAGTCCAGCATCGTCCAGCTTAGGGGGCGAAGCGCAACACCCCACCCGCCATGTCCTCAAGGGCAAAGCTTGCCTTACAAGCTCCATCTGCGAGCGGGGAAGAACTACTTTCTCCGAAACCTATGGGAAGGGTGCCCCAGGGGCTTGGCATGGGACATGGAGTCGGTTTGCTCTGCAACTGTCGGAGTTGGTTAGCGATTTTCACTCGGTTGCTTGTGTGTGTTTCGAATGGCTTGCGACATGCAAGCCTTATGTACAATGGCAGGTAAACCAGACAGTTTTCAAGATGCTATTAGCGGTTCTCGGTCTTTCCAGTACAGCTTTCATCTGGTTAAGAGGCTGCCGGGAGTGAGGGTCTGTGTGATGCGATGTTTGTCTGCAACGCAGCAATCCCATGCAGGATCTTAGGGTGTCCGGTTGGTCCTGAGGCCACGGGTCATGGCCGCATCCTTGCGTCTCGCGCCGCGCAGGAGGTGGGCAAAGCTTCCACGCCGCATCTGTGTCTTACTCCTGGCCGCCTCAGTCAGCTGGAGATGTGGACCCCTCTTCTTTGCCACGGAGGCGCCCTCGAACAAGGAACTCGGGCGGAGCCCGGAAACTCGCAGCGTTTATGTGGGAAGCCTTCCCTGGAGCATCAGGGATCAGGAGCTCCGCGTGATGTTCGAAGAAGTGGGCACAGTGCTCCGGAGTGAGGTTAGGATGAAAGGTACACGGTCGCAAGGTTGGGCTACAGTGACCATGTCCACGCCAGGGGAGGCATTGAAGGCGGTAGAGAAGCTTGATGGTGCCACGGTTCAAGGATCGTTCCAGGGGAACACAACAGAGCGCAAGCTCAATGTGAATCTGGAGAGGCGCTGTTTGGTGCTCAGTAACTTGCCTGACGACAGTACGTTCAAGACAATCAGGGACTTGTTCAAGGACGTTGCGCGCCCGCGCTGGGTTGATCGCGGCCTGTTCCGCAATGAGACGTCTCTTGAACATGCGGTGGTGACTTTCAAGACCGAAGAGGATGCCCAAAAGGCCTTTAGTATGAACGAGAAGGAAATGGGAGGGTGGACGCTGTATGTTGGCCACTTTTGACATGCGCGTTAGCCAAGAGTGGTTCGAAAAGATAGTTGCTGCAAAGGGTGTCTGCTTTGCAACAGCAACTATCGGAGTTGTCAGCGACTCTATCTCGGTGTCCCCAAGCCCTAAACCCTGCGTAACGTAGAGCAACGGCCTCACCCCTGACACCCTCGAAAGAGCGGAGCTGCTTTTGAGTCACCAGCAATGCCAGGCGTATGAGCCCTACACCCTAAACCCCTAAACCCTACACCCTAAACCCCTAAACCCTAAACTGCTAGTGATAAAGCAAGCTCCACCCCCCCCCCCCCCTCCATCCACAGGAGTTGCTCCGTAGAGCGCGGCAGTGGCTGAACCTCACATTGGCTGGGTTTTGGAGTACTATGATTAGTGCTTAGTCCTTTCTTGGGAGTTCTGGGTTCCCAATTCCTAGAAAGTATATACTTTTTTGTCCAGGTCTACTCCAAAGTAGGGTTGCGGGGGGAGGGGGGGGGTGGGGGGGGGGGGGGGGTGGGGGGGGGGGGGTGGGGGGGTGGGGTGGGTGGGGGGGGGGGGGGCGTGGCGGGGGGGGGGGGTGGGGGGGGGGGGGGGTGGGGGGTGGGGGGTGGGGGGTGGGGGGTGGGGGGTGGGGGGGGGGGGGGGGGGGGGGTGGGTTCTCAACACTGGTTTGGATTCTGTGGGTTTAAGTGTTGGTTTGGGCTTTGTTGGGGCTTAGGCTTTGGGATTTGGCGGAGGACATTTAGGGGGCATGGAGAAGGCGTTTAGGGCTTTCGGCCTTTAGGTTTCAGGCTTCTGGGGCTTCCCATAGAAGAGCATCTGCAACTGTAAGGCTTGGAGGTTCTAGAGCTTGTGAGATTTAGGGCTTAAGGCCTTAAGGCTTTTACGGTGTAGGGTAAAAGCTTTTCAGCGTTTAGGGTGTTGTGCTCTATGCACTAGCTTTACAGGTTCCAGAGCCCCTTTTTTGGTAGGCTTGTGGACGGCATTTGACGGTCAACAGGTGTGTCTCCTCACAAGCGTGATCCCTCGTGACATCTTGCTTTGTTGGGCTCCGGTCAAGAGAAGTGGCCCCTCTGAGGCTTGTCAACAGAACCAAAATCAACAAAAAAGGAGCCTTTCACTCATGTGTGTCCAAAGTATGCCCTGCTGGATGACCCCCCGAACCCCCCGAAGCCCCTAAGGCCTGAGGCCTGACCCAAAATCCCTAGGGCTCCAAGAGCCGCAACCCAAAGCCCTGAAAAGGTTTAGAGTTTTTGGGCTTCGGAGTTCCTAAGCCCCCCAGATACCAGAGCAGGCCCCTATTCCCTTTAGTTAGGACTTAGGTTCCGTTCTAAGCCCCGTTGAACCAAAATAGGGTTCCTTTTTCTTCCTGGCTTGCTCTTGGGTCACCCTAAACCCTAAACCCTAAACCCTAAACCCTAAACCCTAAACCCTAAACCCTAAACCCTAAACCCTAAACCCTAAACCCTAACCCTCTTACGCTTGGGTCTAGCCTCTCAAACCTCCGGATGAATGCGAAGGTTGTGGCCAATGTCAAACAGCAAAGATTCGGCCGACGCCACGGTGATCATCCGTGTCTGGGGCCTGCAGTCGGCTTAGGGTTTAGGGTTTAGGGTTAAGGGTTAAGGGTTTAGGGTTAAGGGTTAAGGGTTTAGGCTTAGGGGTAGGATGATTTTCGCGTGCAAGATCAGGTCAAGGGCGGGGATCGAGCGCTCCTTCATCAATCCTGCTTCAACGCTTTTGTCGTCCCCTTGTAGATAGCCTTCTTCATTGGGGCTTCCTCAGAAAATGGGTCCCAATTCAGGGTATCCCCCCCATACATACATAAGAACTATTATTCTTCTTATTGTTTTTTGTTATCTTCCATTTCATTATATTACATGATATCATGTTGTTATATATTCTGTTATTATGTACACATACACATATCATCTCTCTCTCTCTCTTTGTTGCTTGTTCTTCGGGGGATCCAGAGGTGATGAGGCTCGGGGATACGGATGTTAGTGTCCTGGGCTGTGCGGGGGGGAGGGGAGCTGGGATGTAACCTTGATCGTTATCAGTGTAAGCCTGAGCTGGAGCTGGTGTCCTACTGGTTGGAATCCTGAAACCCCGACTGCCCGGCAAGGAATCGATGCCCTGAAGGCGCAGCTGACCGAGCCTGGCTTTGCTTTTCTTGGTTCTCTTGTGCAAACTCGGTCTAGGGCGAAGTGTCTCACGGCTGTATGCCGGGTACTCGTTCAAGGGTGCGCCGGAGTCTTTCGCTTTGTTTTTGCTGCAAACGCAGTCTCGTACCGGATCCCCTAAAATGCAGCATGAGGAAACTATGTAGGGCTTCTCTGGGGTCGGGAGTCTGTGGCCCAGAATCAGACTCAAGGCCCGTCGGCAACATCCTCATCTAAATAGCCTAAACCTTAAGGACTTGAGGCTCTGCAGCGTGGCTGCATATTCGGTAATTTCCGAATTTCTCAGGCGTTGGCAGCTGAACCCAGCTTAGGGAGAGCGAATCTCAGCAGCACGTGCTGTTGGGAACTAAGGGGCACCATGAGTAACCCCTAGTCTCCCAATCTTCCTTCTCATATGACACACACACACACTTTGTAGTCCCTATCTGCCTACGTCACCCCCAAGAATAGCCCCTAAAATATCATTCGGGTTGCTGAGAATTGGTCCCTCAACCCTGAACCCTAAACCCTAAACCCGACACCCGGGAGGACAGCCTCGCCTCAGAGATCGTCGACGTGCGTCGGCGCAGGAGCGGGCTTCTGCTGTGGGAGCTACGGCTTGCGAGTTCTCTTGTAAATAGGGTTTAGGGGTTAGGGTTTAGGTTTCAAAGGCACCTTGGTTACTTTCCAGATTCGGCTTACCGGAGCTGAGAATCTCTTCTCCGCGAAGCCGAAAAACGCATTAAAGGCATGGTTCCCACCACACCCTACTCCTAAACCCGAAGCCTCAAAACCACTGGCACATTGCAGTGCCACCAGGTATGCGCTGATCAAGACGAGCCCAGCTCTGAGACAGGTTATGGGGGCTCAGCTGCTTCACAGAGGTTTGTAACAGCTTCCTGGGGGACCCTAGAATGCCTGAAGCCACATAATTAAGGTTTAGAGTTCGAAGGCACTCAGGCCCCGAAGTGCCAAACCATCGAGTTCGTTGGTGGGGCATGAACCCAGCCTAAACCCTGAACCCTAAACCCTAAACCCTAAACCCTAAACCCCAAAACCGCGACTGGAGGTCAGAAGGATGGCCAAGTCCGGCAGATTGCTGACAAGGCCTGGATGGTTCCGGGTTCAGGGTGAAGCTCCCGGAGCCCTTCAACTTAAGCACCGGGGCGTGGTCTAGGCCAAAGCAACCCCTCCACTTGTCGCTGGCTTACAAAAAAGGTAGTTTAAAAAAAAAGTAAATGTGTTGCTGTATATCACGTTAGATGACTCGATATGCTAGATTTCTGGATGCAACGATGTATGCGTATGTATATATATATATATATATACATATGTATGTATGTATGCATGTATTTTTTTTTCAATGCTGGTTGTATTTGTTCGGGGCCACATAACACGGCTTCGTCGCATCAAAACGCCATTGGTGTTTCGCTAGACCATAAGGTGTGTAAGGCTGGGACCCCTAAAGAAAATGAATGTATTCAAAGAAGCGAAACAGACGCTACAAGCCCCTAAGCTCACGCTAAACCCTTGCGGGTTGGGTACCCTAAACCCTAAACCCTCAACCCTAAACCCTAAACCCTAGACACTCCCTGATATGAGTGGTGGAAGGGCCAACCCCCGAAGCCAGAGCCTGGTCCCCTGGGCAAAAAGACGCGGAGGGATGTCGAGATAGCGGTGCGCCCAGCCACTCTAGGATCTCTTGTTCATAGTTGGGTATCATTTGATATTTTTAAGGGTACTTAAACCCAACAAGGAATATATATATATATATATATGTATATATATATATAAATATATGTATATGTGTTTTTTCAACACGATCCCAACCATGAACTGGATTTCAAGAACGTCTCCAGGACCAAGCAGAAAACCTCACAGGTCGAGGCCGTCCACTCTTGAAGCCCCTAAACCCTCACCCCTCCCTTCTAGAATCCCTAACCTAAGGAATTCTAAGGATCCTAGAAGGGGTTGTATAGAAAACACCTACAAAAGACGAGGTTGTGGGTTCTAGAGGTAGGCCCTAATGCCCCCGGCTACTGTTGCAGGACCCGCCCGCAGACGGGATCGTCCTTGACTTCAACTGGAACAGCCCAGCACGTGTGACTTGGCCAGCGTGGCGTTTGTTTTGAGCTGAGCTCGGGAGTTCAGTTTGGGCCACAAAGTGGGGCTGGGGTAAGTTGCTGGGCCTTCTGCAAAAGGGGAACCTAAAGCCTGTATTTGGCTCAGGATTCCCGCAAACCCTGAACCCCAAACACCTCCTGCGCTTGAGGTACAGCGAAATAGCCTCATGATGAAGAGTCGAACCTCGATTCCGTTGCTCGCCAGCTACCACGTACCAGCTAGGGATAAAGGTAGGGGAGATGAGCGCTTTCCAGGCAAGGCTGGGATGTGAATCCTGTTACAAGAGGGCAGTAGAGGATAGCAGGGTTAGCAAGAGTCTTCGGCTTAGGTCATGCTAAGTGCGGCCTCTACTTAGGGTTTTGGGGCTTAGGTTTTAGGGTGATTCCGGTCTTGATTTGTCGGGATAGGGTTTATGCAAAGGGTCATGTTACTTCATCACTCCAACGACGACTCGTCCCTCCAGTCATACGAAAACCCCCAAACTTTGAAATGTAGGGTTTATGGCTCGGACCAAGCGTACTGGCAGGACAAAGAGGCACACAAGAAGAGACGTTAGATTATCCCACAGCCATGCGTAAATCTTATAAACCCTAAACCCTAAACCCTAAACCCTAAACCCTAAACCCTAAACCCTAAACCCTAAACCCTAAACCCTAACTTGCCTCTTGCTGGGCAGCTTGGGGCACCTAGTCGCCAAGGATGTTTGCAAGCACCTTCTCCAACAAGCACCTCTCAAACAGCTTCAAGTAGCTTGGAAGGCCCTTTTTTTTGGGTTTAGGGTTTAGGGTTTAGGGGGAGGGGTTAGAGTTAGCGTTTGTGGTCTTTGGGTTTAGGGGGAGAGGTTAGGGTTTAGGGGTGCCGGGGGGGGGGGGGGGGGGGGTGGAGTGGTCGAGTGAGGGCGGCGGAGGAGAATGCGCCAACGCCCTTATGCCCTCAACCCCAGACTCGGAAGGAGTGCGCTGCATGATATGGCATAAGTGTCTCACTACCCTAACTAAACCCTTTGCCTCCTAGGCACGTGGCAGACAAAGCACAGCTAACTCGGAAGGTGTTAGATTCTTTCAGGGTGGCAGGAGTTTTTGTTTCTAATCCCTGCGCACCATGCTCTGATTGCAATCTAGGACGCCGAGAAGCACACTCATTTTTAATCAGGACCCCCAAAGTTTCAAAGGGACCCTAATTTAGAGCCCCATACACCTTTGCAAGTAGCCGCACGTAGCGCTCCGCTGTTGAGCTGAAGGTGCCTCACAGAGATTGCAAGGCAGATCTCTGACTCGGACCAGTCCGCAGCAGGGTTGAGGGTTTAGGGTTTAGAGTTTAGGGTTTAGGGTTTATCTGATTTAGGAAGCTAAAGGGGTTTGGGTTTGAGAGTTTGGGGTTTCATGCGCATGACAGAGCGTCTTAGAGCTTCAGTTTGCGAGACCTCTTAATGTCACAGCATGTCGCGCAGCGTACATTCGCTTTGCTTCAGTCATTGCATTTGCAACCCTAGCCCCCAAACCCAAACCGGAATAGGAATGCATCTTCATTGAAAATCATTAGATGAGGACTTCCTGAACGGCTAGCGACTCGACCGGAAAGGTTTGTGGGTACTCGTGCCCTAAATGCGGACTTCAACTGTGAGGCTTGTCGCACAGTTGTTTAAAGACGCTGTTGGCCCAAGGCAGCTGTTGATTGGGCGCCGGGAGGGTTTGGGCATCAGTTGCTATCATAGAGCTCGGAGGATCATGCATCATCTACTACTTGCTTAAGAACCCCCAAAGAATGAAAAATCATCATCCCTATGTTACCCTTAATAAGGAAGAATATTTTCCATGTTTTCGGGGTTCTTAAGCAATTAGTAGTCATGAGTTCCGATCGTGGAAGAGCATGGGGACGTGGCATGACCTCCCACTTTGCACTGATGAAGGGATGAAGACTCGCACCCGAAGGTTGTACCCCTAAAGGTTCCCCCTAGCATACCCTTATACCGCCTATTAAAAACTTCAGGGTACAACCTTAAGGGTCCAAGGTACAACCCCTAGAGCAGATGTTGGTTGCAGATGGAGTCGCAAGGGCTTGTTGCGAGGGATTTCTGAGGCTCGAATCTGCCAAGTTTGTGCGGTAGTTGTTTGGTGCTCGCCTATCCAACTAGCGTCTATGAGTCTGCCCCTCCCCCCCACCCCCCCGACAGAATGCAGAGACTCACGCCTCCCCTATATTTCGCATCTTGCCAAGTTAACGCATTCCTAAACACGAAACCCTAGCATTTTCATGCTTTGGGGGGAGGGGAAAAGATGTGACTGCTTTGTTGGGCTGCAGATGCCAAAGGCTTAAAGCGGCCTCCAAAGCCATTGAGGGAAACCCCGTGGGCAGGTCACAGGGAGACAGGGGGGGGGGGGGGTGTAAGGGGATCAGAGCCTTACTTTACGCCTTAGCGTATTCCACCCCCTCAGTATCCCCAAACCCTCAACCCTAAACCCTTTAATTCCTAACCCTCAGCCCTAAACTCTAAACCCTAAACCCTAAACCCTGCCTCGCTTACACCCCTTGAGCTCCCTGCGACCCACCCCTACTCCGCGGACTCAGAAGTCCAGCCTTAATCCGCGCTCTGCCCTGCCGAAGCCCATTCCGAAAGACTTGCAATCCACAGGTTTAGGGTTTAGGGTTTAGGGTTTGAGGGTAGTTCAAGGTCAGAGTTTAGGGTTTCGGGCTTGAGGGGTTTAGGGTTTCGGGATCAGGGGGCTTCAGGGGTTTCAGGGTTCAGGGTTTTTATGGCTCGGGGTTTCGGGTCCAACCCTCAACCCGATTCTCCCAAGCAACGCTGGAGGAGCCTACAGTATTGCTGGTGAGAAGGGTTTAGGGCTTTTAGGGCTGGGTTTTGGGTTCAAAACCCTAAACCCCAGACCCAAACAACCGCAAGAACGCGGGCGGCTGGAGTGAGGGCTGGGCTTCGGGCATCCTTTGACCGAGCAAGAACCTCAGAAAGCTAGGCCCTAAGGGTCCACAGCACCTAAGTAGGGGAAATACTTGGGCCTTGAAGTACTTCCTATTTAGGGACTTTGGGGCCCAAGTATAATAATCATCAGGTACATGGACCTTAGGGAGGGTTTGGCTTCTCAAGGCGGGGTGAGCAGCTCTTGCCTTCACATTCTTCTTGCTACTTGAGCCCCCACCTGGATCCCCAAAGTATGTAAACAAAAGTAGACCCAAATGCACAAAAAAAAACCAAGCTTGACGTACTTTGGCGAGTATTATAGGGTCTAGGGTTCACCACCATGATCCCCCAATGACACCCTATAGGATTAAACGCAGCGGCTCACTCTCTCATGGCAGTGGCCCCTACCTACATGAAGTCCCTGGCTGCTGCGCAGGGCAGGCGCAACTGACGGTGCCGAAGGCACACGCTGCAACACATTTTGCCTCCAAGCTCAGGCGCCACTTGCTTTCCAATGCCAACATATTCGGAACCCTGCTTTAGGGTTTAGGGTTTAGGGTTTAGGGTTTAGGGTTTAGGGTTTAGGGTTTAGGGCGAATGGCAGGTTTTAGTGGGGGTCTGCGGCCCCGGGGTTTGGGATGAAGGTCGGCAGGGTGTAGGGTTTCGGGCTGAGGGTTGTAGAAAGAGTTAGGGGGCATAGATTCGTCGCGTAAACCCTAAACCCTAAACTCAGGGTTGAGGGGTTTATGGTGGGCCTCCTTAGGCCCTTAGTAGTCTTTCCAATGAGCTCGACGGAGGAGGCGGTCAACGCCCTCAGCATTATCGAAGAGGGGTCTCTCGCAAGAGAAGGGTTCAGGGTTCAGGGTTCAGGGTTTAGGGTTTAGGGTTTAGGGTTTAGGGTTTAGGGTTTAGGGTTTAGGGTTTAGGGTTTAGGGTTTAGGGTTTAGGGTTTAAATAGGGTTCAGGCGAGTGATCCCGCCAGCCTGTCCCGCGCGTCACGCTGACATGTGAGCCATGGTCCAAGCCTTGCTAGCGCGCGCCTGCGCGGAGCTTTTCCGCAACTTGTTGTCTTTACGTGTTATCTTAGTAGTAGAGTATGTAACCTTTAACCTTTTTGGGGTAGTATAATCACCTCAAAATCCCAATACTGGACAACTAAGTTTATTGATGCTGGTTAGGAAGCCTTGAACTTGTCTTTTGGGCACTCTCACCTCTCTGAACTTGTCTGAGTCAGCAGTTGAACTTTAGAGTTTCTTGAGTTGCCCGGTTTCTTTGGAAGAACAGACTGAACCATGACATTCCCTGGGACCGAACGCTTTGACGATGGCTCATGTAAACGTAAACATTACAACTTCGCCATGATCTCCTTGGCCAACGTAGTCTGCCAGAGGACTTCCTGAGCCCATATGCGATGCTGAGGATGTACTGCAATTGCTGAGGATGTACTGCAATTTTCTTAAGAACCCCCCCCAAAAAAAAACAAAAAGAAACAAATAACTATATATATATATATATATATATATAGCAAATAGTATTCCTCATAAGTCCGAATATAGGGAGTTTTATTTACTATTTTTGGGTGGTTATTATTTACTATTTTTTGGGGGGTTCTTAAGCAACTAGTTGTGTAGCGTGTTAGGTTCTGTCTGGTTTTTGATCCGGGCTTGCCCAATGCGATCCCCTTAGTCACCTCCTCATCTCTCTTCCCCCCCCCCCCCCCGCGCTCCCCCCCCTCCCCCCCCGGGTTTAGGGTTTAGGGTTCAGGGTTCCTCTTCCCTCTTCCTTCACCCCTTCCTCTCGGTCTCGCTCTCAGTTTCTGCCTTTTCTCTCGCTCTGAGTGTTGCGAGTTTCCCGCAACTGTAAAAATGCGAAGCAGGGACTTTGAAGTAAGGGTTTAGAGTTTGGGGATTGAGGTTTAGGGCAGGATGGTGTAGCCTGCCTCCCCCCCCCGCCCCTGACTTCCGATAGTACCAGACCTACAGCTCGAACTTGGGAGAAAGTGTGTGTGATCCGCAGGAATTCTGGAGGCATTCAGTAATTAGGGGCATTTGAACAAGGGGTCCTTGACATGCGTGCTTTATATACTATTTTCTTAAGAATCCCCCCAAAAAAGTTTGAAACATGTGAATCCCTATATTGCCCTTATTAGGAAGAATATCAGTTTTTCAATGTTTTGGGGGTGCTTAGGCGATTTATAGTTGTATGTCCTCTTTGCCTTGGTTTCCGTTTGCATTCCCCCGCGCTATTTCCTTTCTGCCATGTTCGCCGGGGGTCGCGCAAGCCACCCCAACACTCCGACATTGTCAGACCCGGGGTTTAGGGTTTAGGGTTTAGGGTTTAGGGTTTAGGGTTTAGGGTTTAGGGTTTAGGGTTCCTAACACCTTCGACTCAAAACTCCAAACTGGAAAAGTCCGACTGCGAAAGCCCCGTGGCGAAAGAGCCTTGGGACGCTCCCCAGTGTGGTGGGCCCTTGTTGTCCCACTTGTTGTAACTGAAGGTTCCTCAAAAAGGGTTTAGGGTTTAGGGTAAAACTCATCGCAGTGCGAATGCGCCAACTTTTGGCCTTCCGTTGTCCTAAACCTAAACAGGCCGAGGTTGCTGGGGAGCATTAGGGGTGTAGTGGGGCTTTGTGGCAGGTGTTCTCCTTCAGACCTAGCCTGAGCCCTTGTTCTTTTTTTTTTTTTTTTGGGGGGGGGGGGGGGTCGCGTGTTCGGGACAGCTTTTACCATTATTCCTTGTAGGCTCAGGACTCCAGGCTGCTGGCCAAAGAACACAGACAGCCTTCACCTCTGAGAGACCGTGGATGTCGGGGTCTAAGGACACACTGTAGGCA